ATTGGTGAAGGCGAGCGTTCGCGCCCCCTCTCCCAATTGTCCTCTTTTAACAGCTGAGCTAGTGGTGCTAGCCTCTCTGAATATCTTGGGCATAGCTGGGTAAGGAGCATGGACGGCTCTCACTGCTGTACAGTCTGTGGAGCCATGCTCCAGATAGATGACGGTCACGACCTGTGTCCTGCCTGCCTTGGACATGACCATCTGGTGGATGCCCTGTCAGAGAACCCCTGCATGAATTGCAGCTTCATGTCGCATGCTGTGAGGGCGGCCCGGCTGGCCCAGTTTCGCCCCAAACTCGGCGATGACCTCCCGCCTTCTGGGCAGGAGGCTCCACCTAGGCGCTCGAAGCGCCGGACTGAGGCCGCAGTCTCTGTGGCCCCTCCTGGGAAGAAGCGAGCCAGGTCTGATAGGGGCCTCTCCACAAGGGTGGAGCAGCTCTCCGCTGAATTAGCGGAGATGAAGTCCCTTTTTCAGGTGCACCAACTGGGAACTGAACCAGTGGCAGCAACTGGACTCTCCTCCCCACCCATGCCTGAACTGGCTGTGGAGGAGGATGTGCTATCCTTGGCTGCCTCTGCCTCTCACTTTTTAGGTGAGGAGGACGGGCATTCATCTCGAGTCTCAGAGACAGCTTCACTCTCTTCTTCTCGGAGTGCAGTTAGTGGGTCGGGTGACGGCTCGATGCAGGACATTATGCGTATGGCCCTGAGACAACTGCAGCTGGACGTCCCGCAACCAGAGGCGTCCACCCCTGGAAGTGCCTTCTTCAGGCGCGGACTGACCCCTCCTTCCTTTTCTGTCCCTCCATCAGAGGAGTTCCTGAGGGAGTTGCATGGTTGCTGGCGGGACCCCAAGGCCTTTGCGCGCCTCTCTGCAGATGGCAGAGTGTTGGCGGCCATGCATGAGCCGGCTGCAGCAGGCTTGGATCGCATGCCAGCGATAGAACCTGCTGTTGCCTCTCTCATCGTGTCACCAGATGAAGCTCTGCGCAGTCATGTTCGGTGCCCACGAGCTCAGTGTCGTGTCACGGATGAATTCCTCTGCAGAGCCTATGCCGCCGGAGCGCGTGCTGGCCGCCTAGGTAATTCCTTGGCACACCTAATGCTTGCCCTCTCCGCGTCCCTTCAGGGGACTAGTGGTGCGACAGCAGCGATGGGCTTTAACGATGCAGCGCTTCAGGCCTTTGCACTAATGACGAGGGAGCTTGGGCGTGTGATGTCCTCCTTGGTCCAAGCTCGCCGACAGGTCTGGTTAGCTCAGTCAGCGTTGACTGAGCCATGCCGTAGAGCCCTCCGTAATGTCCCAGTGGTGCCGGGGGAGTTGTTCGGTTCAGCTGCCTTGGAAGCACTGGAACGGACTGTCCAGGCACGACAGAGAAGGCAGCAATTTTCGAGCCTTAGCAGGCCAATGCCCCCTCCACCTCCTCGGCATCCAAGGCGCCTGTCGGCTGGCTCCAGCATGCAGCCGCCGCCTGGGGGTCATAACCGGCCGGGTGGTCCTTACCCTCATGCGGTTCAGCAAAGGCCCAGCAGGAGCTCTCGTGGGTTGGTCCACCGACCAGCTGGGCAGGCTCAGACCAGGGACTCTGGCTGCCGCCCCCCCACGGCCCCTAGGGGTCGTGGAGGGAGACGGTGATGCCATCAGGCCGACCGTCGGATATTTCTCCCACCAGCAGCTCAGCTATTGGGTTGCTCACGCCGTGGACCCATGGGTGGTTGCCACTCTGACCCATGGTTACCGGCTACAGTTCCGACGGCGGCCTCGTATCTCAGGCCGGGTCAAGATGACTGTAATCGCCGACCCGGTGAAAGCTCAAGCACTAGACCAGGAACTTTCCGCCCTCCTGGCCAAGGGCGCAATAGAGGCAGTGGACCCTCTGCAACAACCCAGGGGCTATTACTCGACTTACTTCCTTGTGCAAAAGAAGACGGGCGGGTTTCGTCCCATTTTAGACCTGAGGGGACTCAACCAGTACCTAAAGGAGCTGCCCTTCCACATGCTCACAACAGCAGAAGTCCTTCAAGCTGTCACAAGGGAAGAATGGTTCACGTCTGTAGACCTGAAGGATGCATATTTTCATGTGCCTATTGCGGCAGAACATCGCCGCTTTCTCAGGTTTGCCTATCGGGGTCACCACTGGCAGTTCCGGGTACTTCCATTCGGGCTCTCTCTCTCCCCAAGGGTGTTCACTCGGTGCGTGAAGGCAGCCCTCTCTCCTCTGCAGGCCTGCGGAGTGAAGATTCTGCCGTACTTAGACGATTGGCTTCTCTGCGCCCCGTCTCAGGCCTGTGCCTTTCACGACACAAACCGCCTGCTCGCTCATATGTCCCAGTTAGGCCTCAATGTCAACCTGGAGAAGAGCTGCCTGATCCCTTCCCAGACGACCACCTTTCTTGGGGTGGTTCTGGATTCATCTTCAATGAGAGCTCGCCCATCCGCTCAAAGGGTGGCCGGCATACTCCAGCTGGTCAATCGGTTCAGGCTGGGCAAGCAGCTCCCCTATGTTGCCTTCCTGCAACTACTCGGCAAGCTGACATCAGTCACTCGGGTGGTGCCCTTAGGCCTGCTGTCACTTCGCCCCTTGCAGAGGTGGCTCAACAGCTTTCGCCTGGATGCCAGGCTGCACAGGCATCGCAAGCTCGCAGTGACGTGGTCATGTCTTCATGCCTTGACTCCATGGAGGGACGAAGATTATTTGTCCAGGGGTGTCCCCATGGGAGTGGTAGTGTGTCGCAGGGAAGTGGTCACAACGGATGCCAGCTCCATGGGATGGGGGGCTGTATGGCAACGCAGAGCGGTTCAGGGCCGCTGGGGTCAAAGAGACCATTCCAAGCATATAAATGTGCTGGAGCTGCGTGCAGTGCACTTGGCACTCAGGCACTTCCTGCCTCACCTGGAAGGGAGGCATGTACTTGTTCGGTCGGACAACACCTCTGTTGTCTACCACATCAACCATCAGGGGGGCACCAGGTCAGCACAACTTCTGAGTGTGTCCAGAGAGCTCCTGGAATGGGCCTCTCCTCGCCTGTCCACCCTGCGGGCAGCGTACTTGCCAGGGCGACACAATCAGGTCGCAGATTTTCTCTCCCGCCAAGAGTCCCCTCCGGGAGAGTGGTCCCTCCACAGAGACATAGTGCTGATGGTCTGGGACCGTTTTGGTCAGGCAGAGATAGACCTGTTTGCGACGGAAGAGTCGACTCAGTGTCCCCTATGGTACTCTCTTACGGGGGCGTCGGGTGCGCTAGGCCAGGACGCATTGGCTCATCCTTGGCCAAGGGTCCTTCTATATGCCTTTCCACCCCTTTCTCTAATTTGGCCAACCCTTCAGAGAGTCCTCGAGGAGGGCCACAGGATGCTGCTGGTGGCTCCGTATTGGCCAGCGCGACCATGGTTCCCACTGCTACGAAGTCTATGTCAGGGCGTCCCATGGTGTCTTCCGACCAGAAGGGACTTGCTGTCTCAGTTGGGGGGACTGATATGGCACCCCAATCCTCAACGTCTTCGGCTGTGGGTATGGCCACTGCAAGGCTAGGACAGCAGCTGACTGGAGTTTCGAGCCCCGTCAGACGCACCATCCTGGGCGCCAGGGCACCCTCTACTCGTCAGCAGTACGAAAACAGGTGGCGCCTGTTTTCCCAATGGTGTTCGGATCACAACAAGGATCCAGTCTCCTGTACAATACCCACCATTCTGGAGTTTCTCCAGTCTCTACTTGGTAAGGGTCGCTGTCCTTCGACGCTTAAAGTTTATGTAGCGGCAATATCATCTAATCACACTGGCATTGATGGCTGTACGGTAGGGAGCCATAATCTAGTCTCTCTTTTTCTGCGTGGTGCCCGTAGGTCACACCCGCCAACAGCTCCACGAGCACCAGGTTGGGACCTTCCCTTGGTTCTCGAAGCTCTGTGCCGTCCTCCTTTCGAGCCTCTGTCGCAGGCGGACCTCAAGTGGCTTTCATGTAAGACGGCTTTTTTGTTGGCTATTACCTCAGCAAAGAGGGTCAGCGAGCTACATGCTCTCTCAATCAGCCCCTCATGTCTCAGGTGGGGCCCTGAGGGCTCGTGTGTTACCTTGTGGCCAAACATTGCATTCGTACCAAAGGTGTTATCTCACTCTCACTCTAACCAACCGTTGAGGCTGGCACGTTTTCAGCCTGCGCCTGGTGAGGGGTCTGCATTATTGTGCCCGGTAAGGGCACTGGAGGCATATGTTGCAGCTACTGCCGTGATAAGACATTCAGACCAGCTGTTTGTGTGTTATGGAGGCCCTAGGTTAGGCTGTCCTCTTTCCAAACAGCGCCTCTCCCACTGGATCGTGGACGTCATCTGCCACGCCTATGCTGCAGGGCCCGGCTCCCTCCCGGTCGGCTTGAAGGCTCACTCTACCAGGAGCGTCTCCGCTTCCTGGGCTGCCCTGAGAGGGGTTCCGCTGGAAGCAATATGTGCTGCTGCATCATGGGCTTCCCCAAGCACGTTCACCAGATTTTATAGAGTTAACGTGGCCACCCCTCATCCCCTGGGCCAGGTTCTTCTACAAGGGTCCTCTGGGCCTCCTCAGTGAGGTAGGTGTTAGGATTCCTTGTGACATCGTTGATATTAGTCATTCAGTGCTTTCAGCACCGCCCTCTGGCGGTCAGGAGGGATGAAATAGAACGAAAGTTACGTATGTAACTACGGTTCTATGAATCCCGGATGACCGCCAGAGCTTCTCCGTCACTCAGAATCCTTGCGTTTCGCGAGAAGATTCTGTAGGAGCAGAGCAGCGGATGACGTCGGGCTATATAGCCTCTGATTGGTCATCCGTGTCACACCTGTGACTCTGTTGGTATTATTACTCGAATCAGCGCATGCGCGAAGGGAACATTCAGTGCTTTCAGCACCGCCCTCTGGCGGTCATCCGGGATTCATAGAACCGTAGTTACATACGTAACTTTCGTTTTACTTCACTCATTGAGTATCACCATTGCTGTGCCTAACTAATTTGCCAACACATATGATTCTTCTTAGGTAACTGTTCATCTGTCAAAACTTTTTGATAACTTGTCAGACCTTGAGTTTGCCAAAAATGAGCAGTTGCATAACCGCACACGAGCTGTGGGAATGTACAGCAAGGAGAGAGAATTTGTCCCATTCCAAACTGAATGTTGCTGTTATGGACCGGTAAGATACTGTTCAGTAAATAAAGTTAGCTGTCACGCTTCAGAAAGTGACTAAGCCAGTGGTAAATCTCTTATCAGGTGGAGACATGGCTTGCTTGTCTTGAAGAGTCCATGAAGGAATCTATACGAAGCCACGTGTTTGAAGCTGTGTCTGTGTACGAGGATAGACCCAGAGAGCAGTGGATTCTTGAATTCCCTGCTCAGGTTGCTCTCACTGGATCACAGATCTGGTGGAGTAATGATATGGAGCTTGTGTTTAAAAGGCTGGAGGAAGGATTTGAGTCAGCACTGAAAGACTACAACAAGAAACAGGTATGATGAGTTTAACATGTTAACAGTGGTGCCACCATGACGGGTCCACGGGCCTTCCATAAAGAAATTTGTTCTGGACGTGCCACTAAAATTTAAGTCAAGTCAACTTTATTTATAGAGCACATTTAAAACAGAACCTGTTATCAAAGTGCTTAACAACAACAACAATAACAATCAATGAGTAAATTAAAGAGAAAAATATATAAACATATATATACAATACACTAATAATGATAATAACTGAAGAATTAATAAAAAGCATTTAAAACATAAGGTCACAGATTAAAAAACACTAGAACAATTTACACTGTATGAAATGCCTGAGAAAACAGATGTTTTCTCCTTAACAAACCTTAACATTTTAAGGTTTAAATTGAAAAAGGCTTTAACAAAAAAAAAACTAATAATCTCACTGCTTGTCATATATGTACCATACAGATCATAAACCTAAAAAACAATTTGGTTTTCTAAAGACTTTTTAAAGTATTTTTCAGGCATTGTGTGTGTTTTTATGAGTTCATTGTTTTTTAGTCCTTGTATTTAATATTGTCAACAGAAAGGATTTTAAAGCCACTTAACCTTGTCTTATGACTCATTTAAGCTGAACAAAGGAATCAAACATAAGGGATGATCCAGTATTGGGTCTGAATAATAATAATAGTAATAATAGACAGCTTCTCAAAAAATTGCTGAAAAACATTTGAGAACATTTTCACTAGTTGCCCATCAGAAAATCATATCTTTCCATAGAAGTATCTAAAAAAATCTTTTATATCTTGAAAATGGTGTGTTTGCACCAAAAAGACAATTTCTAAAGAATCTTTTTCCAAAAAGTTAACATAACGAAGCCTGGTGTGTGACATGCCTTTAAAAGAACAAAAGAAGATGCCTTGTCAAGAAAATGTCAAGGCTTTGAAATGTAAAAACAAACATCGCAGACGCAGTTGATTAACTTTAAAAAGAAATGCATCTGCATGTGTGATGAACACCATCGCCAAAGTTATTCATACTCTCTCAATACTCATACAGGAAGCATATTTTTCTGCAAGATTACTGAAAACTATGGAGAGCCATTGCATTCAAAATTAAATAAATAAATAAATAGTGGTATTTAAAAATTATTAATAAATATTCCATTAAATATATGTTCCCATGGAATAAAACATTTAAATAGAAATGTTTAGTTTTCCCCCCAAGATTTATTTCAAGATTTATTTTTATTTATTTAATAATGGAGTTTTATTTTGTGATACTTTTATTTTTTTAAAGCTACTTTACATATTTCAGTTTTTTTTTTAACCCCGTTTTTTTCATTTAAAGTGCTTTTTCTTATATTCAAATGAGGGGGCGGGGTTTTCTCTGGCATAATGGGCAGGGTGCTGGGAGCCATGAGCCCAGCTCTGTCATAGGAAAATGTTAGTCAGTGGCAGGAAGCTACTGAGAGATGGCAGGAAGTCCTTCAAAATAAAATATAAAAATATATGTATTTTTTAAATTTATGAAAAAATTGTATAAATAAGACACTCCTGCAAATAAACCACGGGATACAAAGTGTGAGACAGACGTAGTGGCTAATACAATGGCAATTATGGTATACTGATTCATATTTCATGAGGGGTCTCATTCCCATATTGATTCCCAGTTTCCACAATGATATTTTAATTATTTGAGAGTAGCTGAACTTGTGGAACCTCATTTTGGTCTACGCTCTCAGTTGTATTATCACACTTGTCAGTTTCATCAGCGCTACAAAAGGTGAACATGTCCTTGGCTGCCGTTTGAATAATCTGTGTCTTCCTCCACCTCACCATGCTGCATTGATTGAAACTGCTGTCATATAGCACCAGAGACAAATGATATCTAGAAATGTTTGAGTCAAAAGCACACAAGACTACTTTTGATTGTCTTTACGTGATATAGGGTGTACATTCTTGTGCTGCCAGTGGATTTGAATGATCTTTTACAACTTTAGGATTATCATAACAAAAAATTTTGATCCAGTGATTGTCATTAACAACTGTCAGTTCTGTCCATAGCATGAGCAGATATTTAAATCATGTATTCATTTTTTGCATTGCTTTCAATCTCTTATTTTACCTACAGGTTTTTCAGCTCAACTTGCTGGTTGGCATGTTGCTGGGAGAGTGGAGCCCAGGTGACAGACAAAAGATTATGACTATCTGCACTGTTGATGTCCACGCTAGAGATGTTGTCGCCAGCCTTATTGCTCAAAAGGTTTAATCAATTAAATTTACAATATAACAAGGTTTGCTTGATGTTTCGGTGTGTCACAAACAAAATATGTTTAAATAGTGATATTTACGTTTTTATTTGAAATGTATTTTTTGATTGTTTAATAGCTGTCGTGCGCTCACAGGTCTCCACCTCACAGTCATTTCAATGGCTTTCCCAGCTTCGGCACTGCTGGAACGAGCAGCTTCACCACTGCTTTATAAACATCTGTGATGCGCAGTTTCTTTACTCATACGAGTACATTGGAAATATGCCACGCCTGGTCATCACGCCCCTCACTGACAGGTAAGAACTGCTTATCAGTTTTTTATCAGTTTTGAAGCTTTGAAGCTGTGGACACTAAGGATTACTGTGCTTCACTTTACTTAGACCTGTCCAAAGCCTTTGATACTGTAGATTAAATTCAAAATACTTTATTAATCCCACAGGGAAATTAAATGTTATTGTAGCTCATCATCCTGGTTTCATTAAGAGTTGTTATATATGCTAGTGGTTGTGGGCAAGGAGGATCTCCCGCAGCAGATCTGAAGAAACTGGCTGTAGATGCCGATCTGTCCACCCAGACGTAGCAGGTCATGACATCTTATGCCACAAGCTCTCAGATTTTGGCTGCTCAGATCATAAGGAGATGATTGTGGACTTCAGAAGGAACAAAAACATCTACACCCCCCTGAACATAGGAGGATCTGCGGTGGAAGTGGTCTCCAGCTACAGGTGCTTGGGTGTACACATGAATGACAACCTCGGCTGGAGCAACAACACCACCAGCCTGATCAAGAAAGCTCATCAGAGACTCTGCTTCCTCGGACGGCTGGGGCGGGCTGGTCTGGGGGGCTCAGTCCTCGCCTCCTTCTGCGGGTGTGCAGTGGAGAGCATCCTGTGCTCGGGCATCGGTGTGTGGCATGGAGGCTGCACGGCTGCGGGGAGAGGGGCTTTGCGGAGGGTGGTGGGGGCTGCACGGAAGTCTGTTGGAATCGGCCTCCCCACCGTCACAGACGTCTGCACCTCCGGATGCAGGGGGAGGGCCACCTGCATCGTGGGGGGCCCCGCCCACCCAGCGCACACACTTTTTGCCCCACTCCCCTCGGGAGGGAGGTTGAGGAGCGTTGGGTGTGGAACCACTGGACTGAGGAACGGCTTCTACCCTGAGGCTGTTGGACTCATGAATCTCTGACTAGAATGGTCACTGTGAAAGACCATATCGTGTTGCTGCTGATCTGTTTCGTGTTGCTGCTGATCTGTTTCAATGTTGGTGTGTTCGTGCGTGCACATCTGCTCACGGACTCGTGTTCATGTTTGTGCTGATGTTCAATGTTTTGTGTTATGAGTGCTTAGTGTATATTTGGTTGATGTTTTTCTTGGTTCATGTCTTGGATGTTATTGCTGTTTTTCTTGGACATTTTATTGTTGGATGTAACTGGGACCCTGTGTACATAATTTCGCTCCACCACATGTACCACATGAGGTGCGAATGACAATAAAGAAACTCTGACTCTGACTCTGACTCTGACTCTGATAATGTTGGTTAGTTCTCAAACTATCTCTCAGGTCATAGGCAATGTGTTTGACATAACAGTACTTCATCGTGCTAACGATCACTAATGCTGTGCCACAAGGCTCAGTTTTAGGTCCCACTCTTTTTACAATTTATGTAAATAATATAGGTCAAAACATTCCTGATGCATCCTTGCATCTCTTTGTCGATGACACTTGTTTATTGTCGAGCTAACACAGTTGCCAAGGTTTTCCAGCTTCTACAGTCTGCATTTGACATCATTGAGTCTGACTTATTCCATCTCAAGCTGGTGCTAAATGCTGATGAAACCAAAAAAGTCAGTGCCAGCAACTCTTCCTCCTGTCTCATCCATGTATTGCGTTCCTATTGAGTTTGTAGATTCTTATAAATACTTGGAAATTTTGTTTGATGCTCATCACTCTTTTAAAGCACATATCAAAAACTCAAAGAAATTGAAATTAAAACTGGGTTTCTTTTTCAGAAATAGATCTTGTTTAACTCTGAATGCCAGAAAACACCTTGTAACCTCTACCTTCCTACTGGCCATTGACTATGGTGTCATTATTTACATGAATACCCCTGCCAGCTCCTTGTAGATGTTGAATGCTGTCTACCATGGTGCGCTAAGATTCATAACTGGTTGTAACTACCGTACCCGTCATTACCCTCTGTATTCAATGGTCAGTTGGTCATCATTATCTATACGTAGGCTCTCACACTGGTTAATTTTCATCTATAAACCCCTCCTTGGTCTGCTACCTTCTTATATGTCCTCCCACTTGTCACATCATCAGTGCAGTTACAACATGCACTCTCAGACCATCATTACCTGGAGCGTTCCCTCAGTGTGAACTGAACTTGGCAAAAAGGCCTTTTCCTAATGTGCTCCTGCAACCTGGAACATCTTGCAACAGGAACTGGAATTGTCCACCTTTATTTCTTTAAGGACTTTCAAACATTTGATGAATGTCAATAGAAAAATCAAAGCAAATATGTTCTTGCTTTTAGTATTTGTGTTTAACATTTGTGTTTCTGTTTGTTTTTTATGTCAAATGTAGATGCTACATCACGTTGACTCAGTCTCTTCACCTGACCATGAGTGGAGCCCCAGCAGGCCCAGCTGGAACTGGGAAAACGGAGACCACAAAAGATCTTGGCAGAGCCATGGGTGTCATGGTTTACATTTTTAACTGTTCTGAACAGATGGACTACAAGGTAAGTTCGAAAAATTACACTTCAGAAGTTTTATCTTTAGTTTATTTGATTTTTTTTTTTTTATTAATATGTGTTGGTTATAAACCTTTTTATCACAAACTATCTGCTTTGTTTATATCAAGTCTATTGGAAACATCTTCAAGGGCCTGGCTCAGACTGGAGCATGGGGCTGCTTTGATGAATTTAATCGTATCCCCGTGGATGTTCTGTCCGTCGTCGCAGTGCAAGTCAAAACCATTCAGGACGCAATTCGGTCGAAAAAGGAAAAGTGGGTAGCTGAAGCTCAAAACAGTAAGTTTTCATCGTGAAACTGTGCGTTTACAGATTGGTTTGTTGTGTGTCCCCTCATAGGTTCCTGTTTCTCAATCAGGAGATTGTCTTAAAACACTCCGTTGGAATTTTCATCACTATGAACCCTGGCTATGCAGGCAGAGCAGAACTACCTGAGAACCTCAAGGCTCTTTTCAGGTAGGAGGGATACAGCTCTCTCTCTCTCTTTCTTTCTTTTAATAATGAAACTCATTTTGTGCACTGTTTGTGTCCTGCTTTAGGCCCTGTGCCATGGTGGTACCTGACACTGAGCTTATTTGTGAGATCATGTTGGTGGCCGAGGGCTTCTGTAGTGCTAAGCTGTTAGCCAGGAAGTTTACTACTTTATACAATGTCTGCAAAGAATTGCTCTCAAAGCAGGTAGGAAGAACAACATTTTGTTCTTCTGTGATATTATAATTATTTTATTTTTAGCTTCAGCACAGCAAAATATAAAATAGCTAAAATTTTATTAGAAAATCTGACTTGACACATAGCCTAAGTATTAAAGTTTTTTTTGGTTTGTTTTAGGATCACTATGATTGGGGTTTACGAGCTGTAAAGTCTGTGCTGGTTCTAGCTGGTGCACTGAGGAGAAGAAACAAAAAGAGACCGGAGGATCAGGTGATTTGTGTAAATATGTAACCTCATAACATGGTGACATTGTATCTTACATAAGTCTTCATGATAATTCTAGGTGCTGATGCGTACATTGAGGGACTTCAACTTGCCTAAAATTGTGACTGAGGACATCCCTGTCTTCTTGGGGCTGCTTGGAGACCTGTTCCCAGGTGTGGAAGTGGAGAAAGAAAGAGACTGTGATTTTGAGAAGGCCATCAGAGAAACCACTCTTGAGCTTGAACTGCAGCCTGAGGAAACATTTATCCTCAAGGTTTGACATAAAGTGGAAAAAAAAACCTACCTAAAATGACTCAAAGCTTGCCTGTGTAAACATATGTTTTTCATTAGGTTGCACAGCTGGAGGAACTCATGGCCGTGCGTCACTCTGTGTTTGTTGTCGGAAGTGCAGGGACTGGGAAAAGCCAGGTTTGATTTCTTTTAAATCACTGTGGACAGAATCTTGTAAATAATAACAGATGTTACTTGTGGCTTGCTGACATTTTTTAACAGATCTTGAGAGTGCTTCACAAAACATATGTAAACTTGAGGAGGAAGCCGGTCTGGAGTGACCTCAATCCAAAGGCCATAGACAGAGACGAACTGTTTGGCTTCATTCACCCTGCAACTCGGGAGTGGAAAGATGGTAAAGATGTTAGACATCCAAAGCTACAAACTAAAGTGTGTGTTTGCAGGCAAAACTCAAACTACTTTTTCTCATTTGCTTTGAAAGCATGCATAACACACTGAAACGTCCATCTTGCCCACAAGCACAAGAAATTGTCACCTCTTCCGTTAGTCATATATGTACCTGTAACACAGATATGCACAGAAAGAGTGCAATGGAAATTTAAAAAATGGTTCTTTGAGCTTAATGGAGTATTTTTATACTCTCCAAATTTGTGCAGTCCTGGTTGCAGATATCTTTTTAAAAGATTAAAGCTCAAAAATGTTCTGAACAGAAAAAAATAATAGGCAAATGAGAAATAGGGTGAAGTAGTGACCTTTTTTTGGCTTTACAAGTATAAACACTGGTTTTAGAAGCATTTAGCCTAACTTGCCATTATGTTGTGACAAAAGAAAGTATATCTACTCTTACAAAGTGTAATCTGTTGTTTTGTGCATCCTTCAATTTCTGTGCAAGGTTTGCTTTCTTCACTGATGCGAGAGCAGGCAAACATCTCCCACCCTGGGCCTAAGTGGATTGTGTTGGATGGAGACATTGATCCGATGTGGATTGAATCGCTCAACACAGTGATGGATGATAACAAGGTGCCTCCCTTCTGTTCACTCATACACTACACAGAGCAACTAAGGTGGCATGTGCAGATAAAAAATGTTACTTTCTCCCCTTTTGGAGTGCAAGTACTTTGGGGTCTCTTTTCAAAGCGATGAATCATTTCAATCTAGAGCAAGTTTTTCTAAATTTGTGAGGTCTGAAGGTGTTTTTTTACTTATTGTTTAGTTAGAGCGTCAAATCTCAGAATATTTGGAAACAGAATGCTTTATTAGAGCATCAAATCTCAGAATATTTGGAAACAGAATGCTTTATAATATATTTTAGGTTCTGACTCTTGCCAGTAATGAGCGTGTACCGCTTACACCATCCATGAGACTGGTATTTGAAATCAGCCACCTAAAGATGGCCACTCCTGCCACAGTGTCTAGAGCAGGAATCCTCTTTGTTAACCAACAGGACCTGGGCTGGAACCCGTGAGTTACATTTAACCATCTTTGAAACTCTACTGTCTGTTGATATTTGAATATTGCCATGTCTGTTTGAGTCTGCTTGTGTGTTGTTCAGGTATGTTGCAAGCTGGATTGACCAACGACAACGCCAGACAGAAAGGGCTCATCTCACAATACTGTTTGAAAAATATGTTCCACGTTGTTTGGAACAAATGAAAAGCACATTCAGAACAATTACTCCAATCCCCGAGAACTCTATGGTGCAGGTGTTTAACACAAACATACAAAATGGAATTTTTGTTTCATATGGTTTTATTGTCAGAAAACTGCAATATAACAATAATTATCTCCTCGTTCAGACGCTCTGCACTTTGCTTGACTGCCTTCTAACACCAGAAAACATTCCAGCTGAGTCCCCACGTGAGGTCTATGAGACATATTTCACATTTGCCTGCATCTGGGCTTTCGGTGGAGCCCTCTGTCAAGATCAGGTATTCAGATTGTTTAATTTGAGAAAGCACAAGAGATTTTGGTTGTATCTAATCTTGTAGGATTTATTTATTTGTATTCCAGCATAAAATAAAAGTAAAACATTCTTTTTTCTTGCATATGTATTTTTTGAGAAGTCAAATGCCCCGTCTCCCAATAAAGCTTAACAAGTTCTGATTTTATCCTACAGTTTTTTCATCAAAACATAATTCTTGAACAAAATGATCAACTATAGCAAATGCTTGTTGACTAAACAAATATAGTATTGCATAATCTTTAAGCATATTAAATAGTTCATTTTTAGGAAGTATGGATAAATCAGAAACTAAAATAAGGTAACTTTTTGAACAAATTTAAAGAAAAACAGAAAAATAATTCTGCACAATTATTACCAACTATAGGCAATCCTCTTGTTTGAGCTTAATATTCTTAGGTTAGATGAGGTCTTTATGCCTATTTAGACAAATTCAGATTTGTATTTGTCCTTGGTTAAATAATAATGTAAAACACAGATGACTTCAGTTATACTTTTAGTAGTAATAATAATAATAATAATCATAATGCTACCAAAAACACAAGTTCCTAGGCACAAGTAATAATGCATTAAATCTGTAAAGCACATTGCATTTGTAAATCTCAAAGTGAAGATTCAACAATCATCCATCCATCCATCCATCAATTATCTTTTACCCGTTTCTTCCATTTTGGGTCACGGGGGTCGCTGGTGCCCATGTCCAGCAATCACTGTGCGAGGGGCGGGGTACACCCTGGACAGGTCGCAAGTCCATCACAGAGCCACATTGAGACAAACAACCATTCACTCACACCTAGGGACAATTTAGAGTTGTCAATCAGCCTAACATGCATATTTTTGGTCTGTGGGAGGAAACCGGAGTACCCGGAGAAAACCCACGCATGCACGGAGAGAACATGCAAACTCCACCCATAAAGGCCACCAGACCAGGATTTGAACCAGGGACCTGCTCGCTGAGAGGCTTCAGCTCTACCAGTTGTGCCATTGTGCTGCCCTTAAAGAATCATTAAATTGCAAAAAAAAAATAAAATTAATAATCATAAAAATCTCAGTTAGGGTTGTAAAAACGACATTAAAAAGTTTTTTATCCTTTTTTGAGAGATTCTGCAGTTTGTGGTGCTATTGGAAGTGGATATCACAGATGAGAAGCAAGAAAAGGCTCAGCTCCCCATGGTGGTAAGCTTAGTTCTTGGGGGGGGGGGGGGGGGGGGGTTGCTATTGCCTTGTATGCAATGGTGTGTCAGATGATAAATCTTGTATTGTATTCTGGCAGAGACAAGAAGCCAATGAAGAGAACACAGGACTGATGTGATGTGTTCATTTTTAGTTGTGCTACAGTCTAGTCTAGTTCTGTATGAACAGGAGCTATTGAAGGTTTTTATTTGAAAAAAAAGATTGAATCACAATAGTCCAGCCTTGAAGAACCAAAGGCGTGGTCAAGCTTTTCATCATGAAACCAAGATAGTGATGAGCTGAGACTTGCACTGTTTTTAGATGAAAAATGAGTTTCTTACACAGATGTTTAACAAGGAAGTCAAAGGAAAGGTGAGGATCAAACTGGACACCAAGGTTGGTGACAACGGAGAAGAGTGTAATGTCTTGATCAGAAAAGGTTATAACTATTTAAGAGGTGAGTGGAGCTGATGGGGAGTGCCTCAACATAGCCTCCGTTTCAGAGCTGTTCAGTTTGACTGTTTGACTCATCTGTGACTTTATCTCCTCCAGACTGACAAAATGTGTGGAGTGATGATGGGTGTGATGAAGCAGAAGGGTGACAGTCTGTTCACATGTAAACTTGAGCATCATTAGCATAGCAGTGGAAGGATTTTCCATGGCTGTTAATAACTTGATCAAGAGGAAGCATGTGCAATATGAAGAGTTGGGCCAATGGCTGACCCCTGAGGAATCCCACAAGTGACGATATGTTTTTAACTAGGTTCCTTGAATGGCAATGTGTGCAGTCCTTTTTGAACGATAGGACTGGAACCAGTCAAGAACAGTATCATGAAACCCAATAGAATGAAATAAGTGGTTTATGAGAATGTTGTGATCAATGGTGTAAAATGTTGATAAATCAAGAAGGATAAGAAGAGAGGGTGAGCTGGCACCTGTTACCATCGACGGGTCAACCACATCAAAGATGTTATGGAGTTTGCAGAGTGGAACACAGCCTGAAACATTTTTAAACAGCTTATTTGATTTGAGATAGTCATTTAAATGTGCAGCAATAACTTTGTCCAGAATCTTTGAGAGGAAGGGGAGATTAGCAGTGTGTCTGCAGTTTGTAAGAATTTATGGGTCATGGGTGTGTTTTTTTTGTGTTTTTTTTGTTTTTTTTTTTAGGAGATGCTTGATTATGGCAGTTTCCAGTGAAGCTGAAACTGCGCCAGACTGAAGAGACATATTAATGATAGTGGTGATCGATGGGACCAATAGTAGACATATTTGTCTAAACTAGAGTGGAAGGGGAGGGATCAAGGGCACATGTAGTGGACTTCATCTTCCTAACAATTTCCAAAACCACCTGCTGAGAGACGGGAAGGAAAGGAGCAAAATGGCTGTGGGATCTTGAGTTGTGGCTCAGCAGTCTGATGATACGAACCAGTTTCCTTGAGAGGGGTTGGACACTCTTCTACTCTGGAGTTGCCCCTGGTGAGAGGTGCCGAGCAGGAGTGGGCATACTTGTTGCCCCCTCATCTTGGTGCCTGTGTGTTGGGGTTCACCCCAGTGAATGAGAGGGTGGCCTCCCTCTGCCTACGTGTGGGGGGACGGGTTCTGACCATCGTTTGTGCTTATGCACCAAACGACAGTTCAGATTATCCACCCTTTTTGGAGTCCTTGGAGGGGGTACTGGAAAGTGCACCTCCTGGGGACTCTCTTGTTCTGCTGGGGGACTTCAATGCTCATGTGGGCAATGACAGTGAGACCTGGAGGGGTGTGGTTGGGAGGAACGCCCCCCCTGATCTGAACCCGAGTGATGTTCTGTTTTTGGACTTCTGTGCTCATCATGGATTGTCCATAACGAACACCATGTTCAAGCATAAGGGTGTCTATATGTGCTCTTGGCACTAGGACACCCTAGGCCGCAGTTCGATGATCGACTTTGTCATTGTCTCATCTGATCTGCGGCCACATGTCTTGGACACTCGGGTGAAGAGAGGGGCTGAGCTGTCCACTGATCACTACCGGTTGGTGAGTTGGCTCCTATGGTGGGGGAGGATGCCGGTCAGACCTGGCAAACCCAAACGTATTGTGAGGGTTTGCTGGGAACGTCTGGCAGAGTCTCCTGTGAGACGGAGCTTTAACTCCCACCTCCGGGAGAGCTTTGAACATGTTCCGGGGGAGGTGGGGGACATTGAGTCCGAGTGGGCCATGTTTCGTGCCTCTATTGTCGAGGCGGCTTACCGGAGCTGCGGCCGCAAGGTTGTCGGTGCCTGTCGCGGCGGCAACCCTCAAACCCGATGGTGGACACTGTTGGCGAGGGATGCCATCAGGCTGAAGGAGGAGTCCTATTGGGCCTTTTTGGCCTGTGGGACCCCGGAAGCAGCTGATGGGTACCGGCAGTCCAAGCGACATGTGGCTCGGGTGGTCGCTGAGTCAAAAACTCGGGCATGGGAGGAGTTAGGAGAGGCCATAGAGAATGACTTCTGCACGGCTTCAAGGCGATTCTGGTCTACCATCCGGCATCTCGGGGGGGGGACGGTACACCACCAACACTGTTTATAGTGGGGGTGGTGTGCTGCTGACCTCCACTCGGGATGTTGTGGGTCGGTGGGCAGAATACTTTGAAGACCTCCTCAATCCCACCGGCACGTCTTCCACTGAGGAAGCGGAGCCTGGGGACTCTGGGTCGGGCCTCCAATCTCTGGTGCTGAGGTCACTGAGGTGGTTAAAAAGCTCCTCGGTGGCAGGGCCCCGGGGGTAGATGAGATCCACCCGGAGTTCCTTAAGGCTCTGGATGTTGTAGGGTTGTGTTGGCTTAAGCGACTTTGCAATATTGTGTGGACATTGGGGGAAGTTCCCCTGGATTGGCAGACCGGGGTGGTGGTCCCCCTATTCAAAAAGGGGGACCATAGAGTGTGTTCCAACTACAGGGGGATCACGCTCTTAAGCCTCCCTGGTAAAGTCTATTCGGGGGTTCTGGAGAGGAGGGTCCATCGGATAGTCGAATCTCGGATTCAGTAGGAGCATTGCGGTTTTCGTCCTGGTCGTGGAACACTGGACCAGCTCTACACTCTCAGCAGGGTCCTGGAGGGTGTGTGGGAGTTTGCCCAACCGGTCTACATGTGCTTTGTGAACTTGAAGAAGGCGTTCGACCGCGTCACTCGGGGAACCCTTTGGACCCTTTGATACGGGCTGTTAGGTCCCTGTATGACCGGTGTCAGAGCCTGGTTCGCATTGCCGGCAGTAAGTCTGTCTTGTTCCCGGTAAGAGTTGGACTCCGCCAAGGTTGCCTTTTGTCACCGATTCTGTTCATAACTTTTATGGACAGAATTTCTAGGCGCAGCCAAGATGTTGAGGGGATCTGTTTTGGTGGCCTTAGGATTGCATATCTGCTTTTTGCAGATGATGTGGTCCTGTTGGCTTCATCAGATCATGATCAACAGCTTTCGCTGGAGCGGTTTGCAGCAGAGTGCGACACGGCCGGGATGAGGATCAGTTCCTCCAAATCCGAGGTCATGGTCTTGAGCCGGAAAAGGGTAGATTGTCCTCCCCGGGTCAGGGAGGAGGTCCTGCCCCAAGTGGAGGAGTTCAAGTATCTTGGGGTCTTGTTCACAAATGAGGGGAAAAATGGAACGCAAGATCGATAGGCGGATAGGTGCAGCGTCTGCAGTGAAGAGGGTGCTGTACAGGTCTGTCGTGGTGAAGAGAGAGCTGAGTCAAAAGGCGAAGCTCTCAATTTACCCATCGATCTACGTTCCTTTCCCCATCTATGGTCATGAGCTTTGGGTTGTGACCGAAAGAACGAGATCTCGGATACAAGCATCCGAAAAGAGTTTTCTCCGCAGGGTGTCGGCTCTACCTTAGAGATAGGGTGAGAAGCTCGATCATCCGGGAGGGACTCAGAGTAGAGCTGCTGCTTCTCCACGTCGAGAGGAGCCAGTTGAGGTGGCTCGGGTATCTGTTTAGGATGCCTCCTGGACGTTTCCTTGGTGATGTGTTCCGGACACTTCCCACCGGGAAGAGACCCAGAGGAAAACCCATGACACGCTGGAGGGACTATGTTTCTCGGCTGGCCTGGGAATGCCTCGGGATTCCCCCGGAGGAGCTGGACCAAGTGGCTGGGGAGAGGGAAGCCTGGGCCTCCCTACGTAGGCTGCTACCCCTGCGACCCGACCCCGGATAAGCGGAAGAAAATGGATGGATGGATGTGAATGTTTTTCAACTAGTAGAACAGAGACCCTGCCTTGTACACCATCATTTCCCCAAATATAGATTACTTTGTAGGAGTACTTAAGGTTTGGACTAAAAACAAGGGATCTGAGGGATCTAACAAGGCTGAATCAGGTGTTCTGGATGGGTTTTTCTTTGTTAAAATGTTTTGTCTTATCCAAAATACTTCTTCAGTCTGGTTTGAGGCAATCCTCACCAAAGTGATCAAAATATCTAGTCCAGAACCTGTCCAGAGAATCTGACTCAGCCTTGTTAGATTTATCTACTTGGATTATTGATCACACATCAGGATAAGGGGTCATTTAAGCTTGACCTCTAAGTTGTTGGGGGGTTTTTTCTGACTGGTTTTTAAAATGAGACGTATACTTCATGGCTATCTTTTTATTGTTGGTGGTTTGTTTAGCTTCATGATTATCGAGTAGAGTTTAGTCAGTGGTGGACCAAAGAAATGAAGACTGTGAAGCTGCCTGCACAAGGGACAGTGTTTGACTACTACCTTGACCATCAAAGCAGACGTTTTCTGCCCTGGGCTGATACTGTGCCACAGTTTGAAATGGAAACTTCCTCAGCATTACAGGTAAGAACTTGCAAACCACATAAATGCTGGGAGAAAATGTGCCTTGAGAAAGAAACGCAAACTTTTTCAATGGTGTTGACTAATAATCACAATCACAAAATAACCAAAAATGAACAATACAGGGATATTAAAAATGTTTGAATGCTTCAGTGAACATAATAAGAGAGGGTAAAGTCACATCATGAGGTTATGGCAGGGGTGCTGGAATGGATGATAGACTTGCCACTGTGTCTGATTACCATCTACCAGAGTGTGTACCAATGTGTGGGGGTGAAGGCACGAGCAACAAGACTTGAGCTATCACCCACGCTCTTTTGTCTTTCTTTATGCTCTTGCATACAGCTGTGAATGCTCCAAAGGCTCTTGCTGAGCCATAATTAGTGGGGTTTTGTTCTGAGCAAATGATGCTATTATGACAGAATAGTTGTGGTGTTCTGAGGAAATCCAAGAAATTATAAATCACATACAATTCACTGAACACATGTCTGTCAATAAATCGCACTCAAAGAAAGCCATAATAACCATGTATGTTTCTGTTCTCCGTCTTCCCGCTGTTCTCGTGATTGCAGGCTGTTCTGGTACACACAGCAGAGACTGTGCGTCTTTGGTACTTCATGAACTTGTTGCTGGAGAAGAGACAGCCAGTGATGCTTGTGGGGAATGCTGGAGTGGGAAAGACTGCACTCATCAGGAACAAGTTGGATACTCTGCCAGATAGTTACACAGTCTCAAATGTACCCTTTAACTATTACACAACCTCCCTCATGTTGCAAGGTGAGTGAGATTTATTTTATTTTACTTTTATTTTTGGGTGCAGTGGAGTATATAAAGAAAACCGTAGCACCATCTGCTGGCTATGATTGGATTCAAAGAGGGCTATAGTGTAGGAAACTTTACCCAAATGCATTAGGTTGTTTTCCTTAATTTGACAATCCTACTTTTCCAATGCTTGTTTTCATAATCAGTTTATTTATTACAAACAATAAATATGTTAGTTGAACAGTATTTAATTTTGCCCTTTCTTTTATTTTTATATACACTATAGAGAATCTTGAGCAACCACTAGAGAAAAGAGCAGGAAGAAGCTACTTTCCTGCAGGCAACAAGAAGCTGGTTTACTTCATAGATGACATGAACATACCAGCTGTGGACAGTTATGGAACAGTGCAGCCTCATGCACTTATACGCCAACATCTGGATCATGGGCACTGGTGAGAAGGCCCATCAACACAAACTAATTCAGACAAATTCAGATGAATTTTACATATGTCTGCTTCTAATCCAAACCCTGTTTGCACAAAACGACCCTAAATCACAAACATCTAACCTCATGCAGAACTATATTCATCAGTCCTGCTGAAGGCAAAGATCAATAAATGGATAAATTATAAATGTATCCCATTACTGCATTAGAACATGTTTGACAGTTTCTATTAATTTATTTTAAACTAAATTTGTATTCTGCTTGGTGCAGGTACTGCAGACAAAAGCTGGCTTTAAAAAAAATACAAAATACTCAGTATGTTGCCTGTATGAATCCAACTGCCGGGAGCTTCGTCATAAACCCCAGGTTACAGGTAAGTTTAATAATAAAAATTGCTCTTTTTAACTGTATGATATTGGATTTAAAAGGAATTCCCCACATTTTCTATTTCAGAATTAGTAAAAATATCCAATATAGTTTACTTAAAAAAATCCCACAATTTGATTCTTATTTGTTTACAAATTAACAGAACACTTATTTACAGGAACTTTTATCGATATTTGTAACAATTAAAAAAATTTTGTATAATGCATGTACATGTAAAGGTTTGACAGTAAGGCAGAGTTAATTCTTCGGTAATTACTTTATACATTGCTCTGTATTTTCTAAAATGTCATTGTGCCTTTGCTCTCCCTGACAGCGACATTTCTCAGTGTTTGCAGTGAACTTTCCTTCATCTGAGGCTCAGATGTCAATCTACAGTCAAATCTTGTGTGGCCATTTGAATCAGCAATGTTTCAGCTTGTTGGTTCAGAGAAGCTCTGCAGCTGTTGTCCAAGCTCTCATAACTCTTCATCACAAGATGGTTCATAATTTCCTCCCTACCGCCATCAAGTTTCACTACACGTTTAATCTCAGAGACATATCTAATGTACTACAGGTAGGGCTCATAGTAAGCTCCTTATTCACTGGACTCAACTGTTATAATAAAAAAATATATATATTAACAATTATTTTTGTTTTTAGGGCATTCTTTTATCTGACTCGGACAGTGTGAGAGAAAGTAATGATCTAGTGATGTTGTGGCTCCACGAGTCCAGCAGAGTATATTCAGACAGATTGGTAGATGTGAAAGACCTTCAGCTCTTCCAGAAGCTCCAGATGGAGACTGAGCGTGAATGCTTTGAGGTGCAATATAGATTGTCATAAAGATAATTGTTTTTATTGGAAGATAATCACAATAACAAAAAATAATAGATTTATCTTACAGGAACAGGAGTACAAAACGGTGAACAAACAGCCCCTCCTCTATTGCCGTTTTGCCCACATGGGTGCTGGACTCTCTTATGTCCCTGTCACGAGCTGGTCCACGCTCAGAACAATCCTCACAGATGCCCTAGAAAGCTACAATGATCTCTATCCAACCATGAATCTGGTGTTGTTTGAAGATGCTATGCAACACGTGTAAGTCTTGTTGTCCCAAATATTATTAAAACGATTACATTAAACTTACTGAACATGGTGAAAATCTATTTATAGGCAGTGAAAGAGCATATTTTTGCAGAGCTATAACAAATATTGTATTGTATTGTTATCAGCTGTCGCATCAGTCGTATCCTGGAGGCTCCAAGGGCTCATGGTTTACTGATTGGAGTAGGAGGAAGTGGAAAACAGAGTCTGACTCGCCTGGCTGCCTACATATCCTCTGTAGAAGTCTTTGAAATCACTCTGAGAATAGGTTACAATATCCAGGACCTTAAGGTAAAATATAAACTTTTACTCAAAGTTGAATCCCCCCCCCCCTTCAAAAAAAAAGTGAATAGAAAAAACTGCAAGCTTCATTGAAAAATGAATGTTTTTAGCTACAATTTTGTTCCTGTAATATGAAATAAATAAAGTACTTCAAAACATTTTAAAATTCCCTGCTGAGTTTTCTTTTGGTCTTTATCCAGACGGTTGATTTACTGTTGCTTGTCTTCTGGATATTGATTTATTTCTTTATACTCCCCTTCTTTAGTGTTACACAAAGCAATTACCGTATTTTCTGGACTATAAGTCACTCCGGAGTATAGGTTGCATCAGTCAAAATCTGTCTCCTGAAGAGGAAAAAAACAATATAAGTCACATTTATTTAGACGTGTATTTCACAAAGTGCAAGAACAGACATTTAATCTGAAATAATAACACACAGAACATACCTGGGATCCTGAACAGAATTAATTAACATAAGCCTTCGAGACCGTAAAGCAAGTTACCGGTAAATTCACCAATCTCAGTTCATATCACTTTTGGCTTTGGGGGGCATTTTACTTGTGTTAAGTTTTTCCTCAGTTGTCTCTAAGTGAATGTTTTTTTTTTTGTTTGTTTTTTTTTGGGGGGGGGGGGGGGGTAGCAGTAGAAGAACAACATACAGTTGTCAAAAGCCAATAGGGCCCTTAACACATTACAAGTCACCTCTTAGGACATTAATACTTTATAGATGCAGCAAGTATTTTAATGTAATCATTAATAGTCTTTTAAAATGTGAAGGCATTCTATAACTGATTGTTGAACAATGAAACATTCAGTCAGCTCAATGTTTGTATGACCACTATATATATATATATATATATATATTAATTATTTGTTTTTTTCTTTCTTAGATGGATTTGGCAGAATTACTTCTTAAGGCTGGAGGAAAGAATCGGCGCGTGGCTTTGCTCCTGAGTGATGCACAGATACCTGATGAGCATTTCATGGTTCTTATTAATCACCTGCTGGCATCAGGTCAGCTCTAAAAACAATCAGACATGAGTATTTAACCTGCCTGTTGTCAAATCGCTGCAGATCCAATTGATTCTTTCCCTTCAGGTGAAATTCCAGAGATCTTCAATGAGGAAGAGATTGAAGAAATTGTATCCAGTGTGAGAGCTGAGGTACGAGAGCTGGGCCTGCTGGACAACAGGGAGAATTGCTGGAGGTTCTTCACAGCCCGAGTGCAACTACAACTCACGGTACAAATTTTAAGAATACTACTGTAATCTTTTTAGATCCAGAAGTGCTTTAACTGTATTATGTTCCAGGATTCAAGGTTCTTTATTTATCATTCCACCACGTGTGGTACATGTGGTGGAACTAAATTGTGTACACAGGGTCCCAGTTACATCCAACAAAAGTATTAAAATGTAAAAGAAAAACGGTATTAAGATCTAAAGTATGAATTAATAAAAATGTTAATAAAAATACAGTAAGTACTAGTAGCATAAAAACAATATGCCAAACAACAGCCCCAACATGAGTCTGTAGTGAGCAGTTGAGAGCAGTCTCATGATGGAAGAAGTTGTCCGAAGCTGGCCGAGGTGTTGCACGTGAGCTGCAGAAAGTTGGCTCTGAGCCAGCACAGAAGTCCGTGGGACTCCGAGCCAGTCAGCTGAGAAATGGAGAAAACTCCTCGTAACCCTCAGACACCCCGGAGTGATGGTGCTGTCTTGCCGAATGAAACCCAGTCCTGAGGAAAGACATCCCTTCTCGGGACGTTCAGCCACCAGCTTTCACCCCACATCCATTGTGGTAATGAGAATGGACATCTCCTGGTAGAACAAACATCTTTCTTCTGATGAGAAGAACAAACTGTGTTTTCTTAGACATAATTTAAGTTCACGAATCTGAGATCAAGTTTACCTAAATTGTAACGTTAGAGTTAAAGCTTGAGTCCAAATTGAATATACCTCTCCTCAAAGTTTTAAGTTAATTTATATTATTTGCCCTTTCTGAAATAATACTATTGGTTATTGATTCATATTTCATATACAGTATTTGCCATATTGTCATTATTCAAACTGAAAATAAATGTTTACAGAATTGCATATTTAAATGACCAGATTTTTGTGTCGTTCGAGCGAGGGGAATAACATATCGTTAAAGAACTCGTATATTTCTTTTGACTGAGGTTGGTCAACATTCATTACATAACTGGTTAACGGTTAGCATAAACACCTGGTACAAGGTGTTCAGACCATTCAAGCGTTACCCCTACATATTATTAAATTGACTCCTCCTCTTAACCTATTCTTCATCTTGGTCATGTATATTAGCAAAATAATGCATTTGTCATTAAATACCAAATTTTATTGATTTATAAATATTTTTTATGAGTATATTATTTTTAGTATTTAAAGAATAATGACAGGTAGACCCATCGTCTTCTGTAACAAAATAAGAAATGTTTAAACCTCAGTAAAGTGCTTAACTATGTTTGCTCCTGGAAATATTGTTGGATTGTCATAGCTAACTTACAGAACAGCGAAAGGAACAAAAGTACCATATACAGCACATTATACACCCATTGACAAACTATTATACAACAATACAGTAATGGCCCAGACAAGCAAAGACCTTGTTTAACATTTGACTGTAATTTTTTACCTTGACCTTGGATGTGGGGTGATGAAAAGTGTATGCAACACTCTGTCTAGCGATGGTCCATATGTGTTAGCTGCTATATTAAATTACCTTAAGTGTATCAGAATGTAAGGCCTGGACAAGAGAACGTTTACAGATGAACGGACAAAGACAATACCATAATACGTTCCAACTTCAATAGGCATACAAATAGGAAATACAGGACATAAGAATCACAATCAGATTGTCATTGTACCGAAATACAGTGAGATTATAAGAATTATAAGAATTTTTATTCAGAGACAAGGAAAATAATTAAGAAAACAAAAAGACCTGCTGCTGTTTAACAATCTCAAATGTGTTCATCAAGCTGTAATACCTAACCTGGAAAAACTGGGGGACTGAAAAGAAGGAAATGAATCTCCCAGAGTGGAGATAAGGCATCCAGTTTGTCTTTGTACCAAGGCCTCTGGTGGCATCACTGTCTGCTCCAGTCCACTAGAAATGTGGCTGCTGTTACTATCTAAATGTGACAATGATCAATTTGGGGGTGCAGAAGGCTGCCATTAATCCTTCTTATGGACTCTTCACTGTGATCTTTTTGAGTTGTGAACATGTTTCTATTTACCCTTAGATGTGCTTTATGCTGTGCTCAAAACGCAGCAAAACATGTGCACTGCATTTTGATTCAGAACCCCTGACGCTTCTGAGAGTCTTTGTCTTCCTGCTTTCTTTATTTGCAGGTAGTACTGTGCTTGTCTCCTGTGGGAAGCACCCTGCGTGTCAGAGCTCGTCGATTCCCGGCCCTTGTCAACTGCACAACAATCAACTGGTTTCATCCTTGGTCAGCTGAAGCTCTGCAGTCAGTCAGTTACAGGTTCATCCAGGAGATTGAAGGCATTAAGGTCAGGCATTTGATTTCATGTTTCTATTTCATGTATATATTTATATGATGAAGTGTTTTGCCTTCGTGTGTCACGTGTCCTGATGCTCCAGGCTGGTTTAAACTGCAATGAAGATTGTCTAATTACTACCGTGCAGCTAAATTAGCGTTTCCATTGATCCTTCATCATTTGTTCTCTACTGAAGTACTGACAAATTGCTGAACACATGCCTGGAGACTCGCAGTGAGTGCAGCCATATCAATGTTTTCCATCATAGCGGTAGAAAGAGCACAACCCAGAGTCATTTATGGTAATGAGAGAAGACTGATTAAGTGCATAACGACCCTCTAAAGGTGGCCCAGCTGTCACAACCATAAAATCCTATCAAAAATGTGCACATGTGCCAAACATGTACATCCCTTAGATTGTGTGAATAAATGGGCAGCTGTTTATGTGCAGAAACATTTTTTTGCAATTGTAGTAGCAAGTGTTGTATCAGTGGCAAGTATGTGGTAACTACAACTTTATCTCCTACACCAGGTAAATATAGATCTGAAAAAGGATTAAAGTTGCAGAATTTGTCTAACATTCAGGCATTGAAGTAACAAAATTGTTGTTGTATCTAAGAGACGAAGAGAAAGAAACAAGAATGAAGCATTAAGTTCTACAATGTTGGGGATGCTTTGAATATAGTGTCAATCTGAGTAAATGAGCCTCTAACAAATGTTTTAAAAAGCTAAAACAAACCATATGACATTATATCTAAAGTTATTAAGGACTGTTTATCTTGTTTAGGAGGCAGGAGCACAAGAAATGAAGTGATCATTTATTTAAAGTTAGAAACACATGCCCTGCTAATAGATGTTATACAAGGCCAATCAATGAACTTCCTAGCATCTTAACACAACCCAGCATGCTTTGTCAAAATGCATTATGTCAGATCTTAATTAATAATGATTTTTGTGCCTGTTGGATCTATGATCATTAACAATGGCTTTTTGTGAGTTATGGTTAGGTTTGATCTTCATATTCTCTGCTCATTTGTTTTAGCTCTAATTGATTGCTAACTGTGTGATTAATAGAAATGATGTGTCCTTCTGCTTCCTGTGATGAATACCTAGTTGAAAAGTCGTGCCGCATCTGTTGCGGGTTTAGAAAGTTGGAGGCTTCCAGCTATAATGTAAACGGTGTGCATGTTTTACAAGCAGCATGTCAGTGCTCTAAACGCATTATCTTCACAGAGGTTTCAAAGTATAATCATTTCTACTTGCTGCACCTAAATTTTAGATTGAGTAAGTCAAGGCCAGCCAAGTAAGATGGCAGAACTTGTAGATGAATTCAAAGTTTATGAAGATAATATTTCAGTGCCCATCAGGTTAGAGATGTTAAACTGTACTTTATCCAGCTCACCCCGTTCTCCCCTCTCTGCACTTGTCTCCTTATTTTTATAGCCTGCAGTCCAGGAATCCATCAGTCTTTTCATGGCCCACGTTCACACCAGTGTCAACCAGGCAAGTGAAAAATACTTACGAAATGAGAAGAGGTACAATTACACCACCCCCAGGAGCTTTCTCCAGCAAATCACCCTGCACAGAAACCTTCTGGCAAAAAGCCGGGCTCAGCTTCAGCAGAAGATGAACCACCTTGAAAATGGCCTTCAGAAGCTCCAGAGCACTGCTGCGCAGGTGTTCACCTCCATTCTTTGTTTAGGGGAGCTCACCTTGGACTCTGAAGAACAATGTTGACTTATTTTTGATTTTTTTGAATATGATGCATATTGAGTTATACATGTTCTATATGTTTTAGGTGGAAGAGCTAAAAGCAAAGTTAGCATCACAAGAAGTTGAGCTAACCGTGAAAAATGACAATATTGAAGCTATAATAGTAAAGATTGGACTGCAGAGTGAGAAGGTTAGCAAGAAGAGAGAGGCTGCAGATGTGGAAGCACAAAAGGTTAGATAACTGTTAATTTTTTTTTTTTTCTTATTCACTGTTGTAGTATTACTCATGGCATATATCATACAGCATATAGAACATTTTAAAATGTAGCTTTCATGGACACTTTGAACAGGTTGCTGCCATGCAGGCAGAGATCGCTTTGAAACAAAGAGACTGTGAAAGTGACTTAGCCAAGGCAGAGCCATCCTTGGCAGCTGCAGTAGAAGCACTGAACACCCTCAACAAGGTACATTATTTGTATGAGCTAAATACATTTTTTATTAACTGTAAATGACTTCTTATCATTATAATATAAATATATTTTTAATTCTTTCGCAGGTGAATCTTACTGAACTGAAAGCTTTCCCAAACCCTCCAGCAGCGGTAATCAACGTTGCAGCGGCTGTGATGGTGCTGCTGGCCCCACACGGGCGTGTGCCAAAAGATCGGAGCTGGAAGGCGGCGCGGGCCTTCATGGGCAAGGTTAAACTGTCATGTCAGTCGCATCCGTTTGATTAATGCCAGTCTAATCTGTGCGAGGGCCCTGACATCGCCCTGCCCAGCATCTTTTCAAAGCTCACATTACAGCTGGATGCCTCCATGAATATGTTCATCCACTGGTGGAGCAAGTGTCAACCTGCTCTAACCTTTTGCTCCTATTTTTGCAAGTGTAGCTGTAAAACCATGTTATATGCACAAACACGCACATACACACATGCATGCATGCATTGTGTGTGATGGAAGCAGTTTAGGTTAAGGAAATAGCTTTGTCCTGTTTTGAATTGGTATATTCAAGATTCTTTATTTGTCATACACATCACATGTGGTACATGTGGGATGAAATTGTGTACACAGAGTCCCAGTTGCATCCAAAAAATTATTAAAATGTAAAACAAAAAAAGTAAGAAGATCTAAGATACAGTATGAACTAAGAAAAACATTAACTAAAATCACACTAAGCACTAGCAGCATAGAATCAATAAAAACAATACGCATAATAATAACATTTAAAACATACAGGACTAGGATTGGATATCATAGATTAGATCTTGTTACTGTTTTTCTTTTATAATTTATACTTTTGTTGGATGTAACTGGGACCCTGTGTACACGGTTTCATTCCACCACATGCGATGCGAATGACAATAAAGAAACCTTGACCTTGACCTTGGATACCCCTGCTACAGCTGCTATACTGTTTTTACCTTTGAACTAATGGAAGTAATAGAATGACAAATTCAGTTGCAAGTCTTGATTTCTTTTTCTGTGCCACTGAACACAATATTTCATTCAGATTACACTTTCATTGGAAACTGTTGAACATAATTACAAAGTATAAGAATAAGAACTTTTTTACAGCTTTGATGATTTGAACCGCCCTGTAATGGACTTGCGACCTGTCCAGGGTGTGCCCCACCCCTCGCACAGTGATTGCTGGACATGGGCACCGTCGACCCCCGTGACCCAAAATAGAAGAAGCGGGTAAAAGATAATGGATGGATGGATGGATGATTTGAAACACTTTGGTTATGGCTGCCTCAGAGGAGTCAATCTCCAGAAACCATCTTATTACCAGCAAACTGGTTGGTCTACTATGGAAGTGCGCTGCTTGTGGGACTGAGTTTGTTGTGGCTCCTCAGATTAAAGAAGTCCTTTGGATGAAGGACAAAACGTCTCACCAAAAAAAAAAAGAAACCGTCCACATAACCTGACTGAATTTTGTTGGATTTTTTTACCTAGATTATTGAGCATGAACTTGGATTTTATTTTATTTTTTTGCAGCTACTTTCTGTATTCCCACCTCAAGCAAAAATGATCCCATTACCACCAATACAAAGAAGATATCCTGATGCATGCTCAATACAATGAAAGATACAATACAATACAAAGAAGAACTTTACTGAATAAAGTCAGCATCACAAAAGTTGAGCTATTATTAGTAAACTTGTTTGAGGTATAGTTTCATGTAAAATAGTTCATTTAGGTAATATTTCCACGTTATAAAATGAGAAATAAGCATTTTCTTTGTAACTAATTATAATTACCTGGACAGAATAGAACGGTTAATAGCAAATATAAAATCTGGATTGCTTGATTATTTATTACATAGATAGTATTTATTCACATAATCTCACTAATATTCTCTGTTTTTTGTCCTTACTGTATGTCTCTCAGGTGGATGATTTCCTGCAAGCCCTGGTGTCCTATGATAAAGAACACATCCCTGAATCTTGTCTGACTGTGGTGAAACAGCAGTATCTAAGAAAAGCTGACTTTCATCCAGAATTAGTCTGGACTAAATCCACAGCTGCAGCTGGACTTTGTGCCTGGACTATTAATATTGTCAGATACTACGAGGTCTGACATCATATTTACAGAAACTATATTTACTATGATTATATTTTATACACAACTTTAATATGTATGTATAAAGTATGCTTTATTTATTTATTTATTTTTCAGATTTATTGTGAGGTTATCCCTAAAAGGTGTGCATTATCACAAGCTAATGCAGATCTAGAAACAGCAACAGCCAGAATGTTGGTAGTTCGAAAGAAATTGGCAGTGAGTACAATGTTATTACATTTAAGTTAATAAGCCTAAAAGCTACATTTTGTTAATAGCTTTTGTTTTGCATGATTTTCTATTTGTCTGTAGGGTCTTGATGCCAGCCTCCGGAGCCTAACAGCTCAGTTTGAGAGGGCTACAGCTGAAAAAATCTGTTGTCAGGAGGAGGTGGCACGAACCACCCAGACCATAGTGCTGGCCAACCGGCTAGTTGAAGGCTTAGTGGTAAAAAATGGGAGATGGAAGCACTCTGTGCTCTCATTGGGACTGACCGGGCATAAAATTAATTGTCACTTTGATCAGGGTGCTGGTAACTGCATCAGAAATCTGGGCTAGAAGTTGTAATGCCCTGGCAAGATATCCTAACAGTTGTATGAACATATCAGGCAAAGGGAGATGTTACAGCCCAGTCCTGCAGGATACTGGGAACATGTGAGACAAGTAGAGAGGGTTGGACCACAGAAAACGCATGGCTGAACTGGGCAACTGGCAGACTGAGCGTTTTCCAGCATTGAGAAGGGAATAGAGATAGTGTTGGCAATGTTTATCTATGCCCCTTATATGTTGTTAAAGGTAAAAAAAAAAAAACTGTTGGATTTTTAACTGAGTGCCAATTGAAAATTACGGACCATGAATCTTTACATTCTGCTCATATGAAATTCTTTATATTTACAATAAATGTATATTATATTCAACTCTTTTCTTCTCCTGCACATATTCATTTTGAGAATCATTATGGGGTTTAATGTGAAATAACAGATGGTCATTTCAGTGGCTATTTTGCAGGTTCGACTTCCTTATTTCAGAAAATAAATGTGCTTTGCATGGAACAACTTGGCTTTTAAGCATATCAAGACAAATGTTTTGTCGTTATGGCATTGACCTGGAAGCAATAGTGTACAGACTAATAAATCAGGCCATCTATATTTAATCATTAACTTACCTCAAAGCCTCAACAGCTGTTGGAAATTAACAATGTCTCACCCCAGACGGAGTGATATTCCAGGCGATCCATAATACATTAGAGTAAAATTATAGTGATTTTTAACTGTCTGAGAATTTATTATGTGACATATTCTGGATCCATGGCCCGTTGTAAGAAAATGCCACGCATGATTAATTGCTACAGGCCGTCACAGTTGTAGTATTGAAGGCTTAAATAAATGCTAAAATGATGGTGACAAAATATTCAGCCAAAATCAGAAATCAATTATAAGATTTTTAGTAGTAAATTTGAATCATACAGGTTAATAAATGAAGAAATAAATGCATTGTCATAGTTTTACAGTACATGAAGCATTAAATACGCTGATTAGATGTATATTTTTACCATGATATTGAAGCCTGATTTTAATGTCTTGCAGTCAGAGCGGGAGCGCTGGTCCCAGGCAGTTATCCAATATGAAAAGCAACGGGAAACCCTGTGTGGTGACATTCTTCTCACTTCAGCCTTTGTCTCTTACATGGGTTATTTTACCAGCCAGTATCGTACAGAGCTTTTTAAAAACGCTTGGATCCCTTTTCTTCAGTCTCAAAAGGCAAGAGCACTTTAGGAAAATCCTTAAGACTTGTATGTGACAAATTGACTTTATTTGCTTGAGTCTGTGAACTGAAGTAGACGTCCACTTGTGCTTCAACTCCAGTGACAACAGTCCTGTTTTTGTTCCAGGTCTCTGTGCCCCTGACAGATGGCCTGGATCCAGTCATCATGCTTACAGATGATGCCACTGTAGCTGCCTGGCAGAACCAGGGCTTGCCAAATGACAGGATGTCAACTGAAAATGCAGCCATCTTGACCACCAGTGAGCGTTGGCCACTAATCATCGACCCGCAGCAGCAGGGCATCAAGTGGATCAGAAAGCTACTCGGGCCAGAGCTGAGGGTGGTGCGATTGGAACAGAAAAGGTGAGATTGAAACGAGCCTAGTTTATTTTCCACTGAGTTTGATGTCAAAAAAGTGTATACAGTAGTCCCTTGTTTATTGTGAGGGTTGGGTTGTAAACCTAACTCTCACAATAAACACAATATCCCCTGTAAGTGAAATTCCGCAAAGTATTGACGTTATATTTATTTTAGTATTTATATATATTAAGGCTTTATAAACACTTTCCACACACTTGCATTGTTCTAAATCGTAAACCTTTGTGATTTTTAACAACATGCGTACAGTACTGTTTATGTAGCTACTAAATTTTATTTACCAGGCTCTGTAGAACAGGCGCGGCTCTCATTCCAGTCCAACTCTGTTCCGGTTCGACTCGGTTTCATTTCTGCAGACCTACCCTGCAGCAATGAAGCCCACAATCAATGTTCTAAACTTTTAAACCTACTAATTTTAACAACATACTTATGTGTAGCTACTAAATTTTACTTACCAACGCGTTCCCGCTCTGAGATCCTCGTCGGTCCTGGTCATTGAATTATTATTATTAATTATTAACCTTTATTTAACCAGGCAAATCTCATTGAGATCACTGATCTCTTTTGCAAGGGAGGCCTGGGCCTGAAGGTAGCCTAACATGCATGTTTTTGGTCTGTGGGAGGAAACTGGAGTACCCAGAGAAAACCCACGCAAGCATGAGAAGAACATGCAAACTCCATACAGAAAGACCCCAGGCCCAACCAGGGATTGAACCCAGGACATTCTTGCTGTGAGGCAACAGTGCTAACCACTGATCCATCATGTTGCCAGATGAAAAATATGAAAAACGTGCTGTGGTCTCCAGATGGACCACCGGACCTTCGGCTGCGTGCATCTGCTGCTAGGGCTCTTCGTTAGCCGGTTGAAAGAGACTAAAAACGTGCCATTGAGCTACAGATGGGCCACTGGACCTTTGGCACATGTCCCCACTTGGAAGTCCTCGTGGGCCGGCCACCAGCTCTCAAGATTCACAAATGGGTCTGGAGGTCTGGTTCTGGTCCAGTTCGGTGGGTTCTGTGTCGCTTCTCTGCATCTGCTGGGTGCCAATCATATCAAAGCTTTATACCTCTAGTTTTTCAGCAAAAGGGGTGGGGCTTCTGGGCAGGGCCCTATTGCCTTTTGGAAAATTTGGTCGTTATGAGCGGGAATACAGTGGAGGTGTACTGAGAGAAAACTACAAAATGGTGGTGCCTGTCCGAAGTATTTTATCTTTTCGTTAACTTTTTACTGTATATTACTGTTTCCAGTACTGTCCCAATCAAGTGAGTAATATTAAAGTTGGCAATCGTGTCCTGTACAATTTTATTTTATTTTAGCACAATATTATGTACTGTATGTTCACAAACCGCGATAGAGCAAGTCTGCAAAAGTCAAACCGCAAAGTAGTGGGGGACTACTGTACAGTGTCTTTTGTTTGCACGATCCTTATTTATTTATCTACCTATTTATTTGTTTATTTATATTGCAGTTATCTGGATGTGATTAAACAAGCTCTTGTCTGCGGTGAACCAGTGCTGATAGAGAATCTGCCAGAAAAAATAGACCCAATTCTGGAGCCTCTGTTAGCAAGAAGAACGATTAAAAAAGGAAGGTTGGTGCTGAAACGATTTTTGGAAAAAGTGAAAAATATAAAAAGCAACAATAATTTGTTTTCATTGTCTGTGTTTATACATAAGTCAATATGTTTACAATTTGTCCCAGCATTTCTGTGGCATTAAACAATAGGTACAGATTTGTCAGGTGGCTGATCTCGGTGTGTTGAGAAACCCCTGTAAGACATGACTTAGTGCTTTATTATTGCCCGCTCTTTGGATTATAAATGAATTTAGGACACGTGTTCCAAATCCCTGGGGTCAAGGCATTGATTGGTCCTTCAAGGTGGGTGATAGATGTATATTTGTGTGTTTATATTCTTGAGGTGTGATGAATATTGAACAGTCGGGCTTCAGTGTAAAAACTGAATTGAGGGCTGTTATGGTTATGTATAAGGACTCCTGGTTCCCACAAAACACCGGCACATACAATGAATTCAGCTGCTCTGCATCATTATTGATCCACAAAAGCAGTTAATAATTTGCAATTCTGGCAGTTGATTTTCTAGCATTTTACTGTATTCTTCCTAACCAAGATTACTAATCAATTTAATACTTGGCTAACATAACTCGTTGTATCTGATCTTTCCTGACAATATCTTTCCACTAAATGTATTTAACTTTTACGATCACTCCTTAAGCCACAGATGACACTTGTATAAAAATGTTTGCTTAATTCTCATATTTGATTTTACATTTGTCTTCAAAAACATAAATTCCTGCTGCATAATGTCTTCCACTGTATAAATATAACACTTCCAACAAAATAGCTAAAACATAGCTGCTCTATAAGTACCGCAGTTACCCAACCTCAAATAGATAAAAAGTACTGGAAATTCCATACATTGGGTAACTAACAGCATAAATAGAAAATACCACAAATTGATGTTCTGCTTTGATTTCCACCTCTGAAATGTTTACATCTTTCTTGCTCTGATCTATTTGTGACCATTATTATTGAACTTCCCGTTGGATGTTCATTAAGCTTCTTTTGAAGTCCTGTCCGTCCAGACGTAACGATTCATCATACTAAATCTGATTATAAGTTTATCCCTTGTAGATGACCCACACACTTGTTTCTGTCGATGATTAATTCAACCTGCTGGGGCAGCCATGATGGATCTGGTAGGGCTCCACAGCTGAAGTTCATTAATAATTGGAATGTTGCAGAGTGTGAAGTAATGAATACTAATTATTCCTTTCATGGCTGACGGAAGACTACAAGCCAATCCATCAGAAAGGACTTTAATTTGGTGGAGTAATGGTTCTATCAATAGTACATTAATTCTGGCTTGTGAAGATATAGAGTTAAACCATACCTAGGCCATGTGGAACTTGTGCCATAAAAATTGGGACCTCGCCTGACACCCGAGGGGTAATTAGCGATAAATGAAAAGCCACCAGGTTCATCAAGCCAGTGCAAATGTAATTGAAATGCAGGAACAGATAATTATTGGCTGGCATTGGAATAAAAAAAAATAAAAAAAATCAAGAATATTTGTATAAAGCATCAATGTTTGGAACCAGACAAAAGTTGCTATGAAAGTTTAAGATAAAGCCTGACTTTTAGGAGTGAGAGAGTTTACAGGTACTTAGTTCAGATTGTCATTCTTATAGTATTTACGAAGCAGTCTGCACTGCATTGTATAAGAGACTTAGGAAGAAGTGATGTTTTACTTGCATTACTGTTTCATTTTTTCACACAGCCAAGAATCTAAAGTTATGTAGAGTAGAGCTGTCATTTCTAACCCAAACCCCAAGCCCCTCCCGACCCACATTAGGACTGGTCCAGGCCATAATAATGTGCTTAATGTGTGGGCCAGGTCAGTGTCGGGCTTTTGATTGCGTCAGTGGATGCGCTCGGCTGACAATTCAATTATATGGCAACATGGCTTGCCATACAATCACCAACTGCACACGGCCATTTGACCGCGCGCTGACCAGCCTTGAAAGAGGTAAAAAAGTTCAGTTATGTTTCAGATGGACGCGCGCGGACGACGACCCAAACAGGTGAGATCACAAAATATCCGACATGCCAGAGCAGGATCCATGTCTGAATAATGCAGAATGCAGGCAGAAGCAGGGATTTAATGCGCTTTGATGGCCATGAAAGGACAAACACCCCCTCAGCTCCGATCTTCAGCCACCTTTACTCAGCCACATGCGTCCGCTGACCGTTAATAACTATATACGCAGTCAAAGCTTCATTAAAAATGTTGGGGGTTTTTGGGAGTTGGGACCTGTAATTATTGTTAATTTGTCAGGTCAGGTGGGGTTCAGAATTGATGGCTATGGGCTGGGGCTGGGTTGGGTTGGATTTTTTGTGCCCAAATGCAACTCTAATGTAGAGAATGGTTTTGTCTTTCATATTGTACAGCAAGTGGAAAAAGGTGTACAGTAGTCCCTCGTTTATCGCAGATGTTGGGGACCACGCACACCCCGCGCGATAAGTGAAAAACCACCAAGTAGAGACAGTAGTACAAATTCAAGTTCAAGTACACTTTATTGTCATTACCATCTCATGTGGTACATGAGATGGTAATTATGTACACAAGTAGTAGCAGTAGTAGTAAGCAGTAGTTTATTTTAGTATTTATTGTAGTAGTAGTAGTAAGTAGTAGTTTATTTTAGTATTTATACAGGTATATATTAAGGCATTTTAAACCCTTCCCACACTCTTGCAATGTTCCTAACAATTTTCTAAACTCTTAAACCTTTTAAAAAAATATTAGTTTTAAATGGGTACTCACCAGAGAAGATGAAGATAAAGAGATGGAGATGAAGAATTAGCTGTCCAGTGGTGACGATGAAGGTGATGAAGATGAGATAAAACCAGGGGCTTTGGCTTCGTCCTTCATAATAAAAGTGTGAGATGACATCCTTTTCCAGAACAGGCCTGTTTTGTCCATGTTAAAATTTTGTTCATACCTGTAGGCCCCCTTGGCGATCAGATCTTTGAACGTCGTGTTAACAAACTCCTGCACTCCTGCTGTATCAGTGGACACAGCATCTCCGTGCAGAGAAACACTTTCTAATCCAAATCGTTTTTTGAAATTGGTCGAACCATTCCTTGCTGGCACTAAATGCTGCTTCTTCCTGCTGCAAGACAATCAAAGTTGTTTCACCTTCGTCCAGATGGTGTTGGTATCCAAAGTGATGTTTTTTTCTGCAATCATTAATCCACACCAACGATGCAGCTTTCATCCTCACAATCGTGTCGTAAAGGCGACAAACATCCATGTAGATATGGCAAACCTAAAGTCTGTCCAGAAGTTCCACTTTCTCTTTAATCATCAACATTTTCCAGTGACAATTCGGTTCACTGCCAGAAACTTTTGAACACACAGAACGTTAATAGGAGCCATAAGAAGTCTAGTTGAAAAAGTGCAGGTAAACAGACAGTAAGTGTCAATCAGCGTCCGGGTTACATAGCACAATGCTCTGTTTCTTAAAGAGACATGTTCTGACATGATTTACACTTTCATGAGAATCTTACATTTATAAAGTTGAGTTTTCTAAAAAAAAATTTAAAAAAATTCCCATGTGACATGAATCAAATTTTACGTTTGAAAGGCCGGTTCAACAGTCATGACTTCACTTTGCAAAAAATACTGTTCGGCAGAAAACAGCAGCTGGAGGCATTACAGCACTGAATTAAGGGCAAGGGCAAAAATTTGTGCAATATTTTGGATGTCACAAACCACGATAAAGCTAGTCTGTGAAAGTCGAACCGCAAAGTAGCGAGGGACTACTGTGTTTGTAATATTAGAATTGTATTTATTTTCAGACAATTGTTTTTCCAATGTGCTTATGCAACCTCTGAAATTATGACTTGTTTCCTGTTATGTAGATATATTCTTATTGGGGGCAAGGAGTGTGAATATAAAAGTAGCTTTAAGCTCATTCTTCACACAAAGTTGGCCAATCCACATTTCCCTCCAGAGCTCCAGGCCCAGACCACCCTCATTAACTTCACTGTGACTCCTATGGGCCTGGAGGTACAACTGCTGGGACAAGTAGTGTCCAAAGAGAGGCCTGACCTGGAGGCTCTGAAGGTACATTTTGCCTGCATCAAAGTTTTTAGTCATTACACCAAATGGGAAATCTAGAATGTGATTATTTTTTTTTCTTTACAAAGATGCAGCTGACCATACAGCAGAATCACTTCAAGATTGAGCTGAAGAGGTTTGAAGATGACCTGCTGAGTCATCTTTCTGAAGCCTGTGGTAATTTTCTAAGTGATAATTCTCTGGTGGAGCAACTTGAAAATACCAAGAACATGGCCGCTCACATACAGTGCAAGGTAAGTTAAAGGGTATTTATTTGTTTTCTTAGTTGCTCAGGTATTATTGAATGTCATTAAGCTGCAAGTGCCTCGTTTTTATTGCATTAGTTGTAAATGACGTGTAGTTTGGAATTTGTGCAATGGGAAGGTTTTAGAGCATGACTGAGGGACTAATAGCTCATTTTGTGCAATTGGAACGCACAGGTGGTGGAGGCCAGAGAGAACGAGACAAAGATCAACGAGGCTCGGGAACTATACCGCCCAGCAGCTGAAAGAGCATCGCTCCTTTTTTTTATCATCAATGACCTCAGCAAGATTAATTCCATGTACCAGTATTCACTCAAGGTAAAACTTGCATTCCTACTGTTCTCACATACATTTCATACATTATTACAATTTATGTTAGATTTTCACCTTAACATTGCTGTTTTCTCCGTCAAAATGCTATAAAGTAACCTTAAATATATTAAGTAAAAAAAAAACTAAAAAAAAAAACTATTTTGTATTCATTTTTAATTGTGAATTCAGTGTAATTTGAAGTGCTACTGATACACATTTTTGGGGCTGTATTCCAGGCCTTTAACTCGATGTTTAACAAAGCAATGGATCATGCAGAATGGGACGAGGATGTGAGGACCAGAGTGCAAACTCTCACTGAGGCCATCACCTATTCTGTATTCTTGTACACCACCCAGGGCCTGTTTGAGAGAGACAAGTTAACCTTCTTGTCACACACGGCCTTCCAGGTGAGGGACTGAGGTCCGCCTCGAAGGTGGAGCCTGCTGTCATTCTCATCAATCAAAGTACTTTTCTGCCCCCACATTAACTTCAATTAAAAGCAGTCAGCAATACCATACGCTGCTATTGATTACCTCTCACATTCTGCTCCGTGGCTGCTGTTCAGACAGTTGGTTCTGACAGGAGGGTTGGTTCTTATGGCGTAATGCAATTATCTGTCACTGGGCCAACTGTTGTCTTCGTAAGAATTTTGTAACTTTGAAGACTGTCCTTCATGTGGCTTTTTAACATTCACTGCCACTTATTCAGACCATATCAATGAACCCAGTTATAGATTTTTTTTTAATGTCTCCAGTTCAACATTTTTTTTCAAAGTAGCTCAATAACATAGATCATACTATACTCTTGATCATTCTCTGTAGATTCTGCTCGGTCAGAGCCTGATTGATCCCCAGGAGTTTTACTACCTTCTGCACTTCCCAGTGGAAGCTTTGAAAGTTAGCGCCGTGCCTTTTCTCTCTCCACATGCATGGGGGGCCATTAAGGTATGAAGCAACACCTGAAATCCCTGAATGGGTGACATTTTTATCTGAGCATCCCATTTCACTGCAAAGTAAGGTAATAATAACGCCTTTTACTTTGATGTAGACAATTTCTGCTGTAGAAGACTTCAATGGACTTGACAAAGACGTGGAGAGCTCACCGAAGCGCTGGAGGAAGATTGTTGAGTCCAGCTGTCCTGAAAATGAAAGGCTTCCACAGGACTGGAAAAACAAGAGTTCTCTGCAGAAGCTCATAATCCTGAGAACACTTCGACCTGACAGAATGACTTATGCACTAAAGTAAGAAAAATAACTAAAGTGATTTTTTTTTTTTAAACAACTATTCATTGTTGACCTTTGTTCAATTATTTTTTCTTTGTAGAAAGTTTGTGGAAGAAAGCCTGGGAACCAAATATGTGGAGACTGACAGGTTGGATTTTGACAAGCTGTATGAGGACAGTGGTCCCTCAACCCCTATGTTCTTCATCCTGTCACCTGGAGTGCATCCTCTCCAAGAAGTTGAGAAACTCGGTACTACACTTGTTCTTCGTGGATTGCATATCTTGTATTATTTCTTGTGGTTTAAAACTCAAAATACTATTTGCACGCAGGTTTTAAGCTGGGGTTTTCCATTGACCAAGGGACTTTACACAACGTGTCTCTGGGACAGGGTCAAGAGGAAGTAGCTGAGAGGGTTCTTACAGTTGCTTCTAAGCAGGGACACTGGGTAATTTTGCAGGTGAGATTTTTTTTTCCTCACTGAGTCCCTACTGTAATAACTTCAGGCTGTGCTTGGAGCTTCCCAGTACACATAATGATATTATCTCCTCCTGTGAGCAAGGGAAGTAAACTCAATTTGGTTCAATAAACGCTGTAATTGGCTAGATCAGCTCCGTAAATGGCCCCTTTAGGGAGAAGTGCACAGATAAGTGAATCAGGGAGGATTTTCTACTATTTCAGAGCACAGAGAAGCAGTTTTTGAACGATTCTTTTTTATGTAAACACGAATGTGTAAATAATTTCAATTCAGTTCAGTTCAATTTATTATATAGCGCCAAGTTACAACAGAAGTCATCTCTGGACACTGAACAGAAACATTCATATATAATTTAACATTATTTATCTGAGGAGCACACTGCTATGAGTTTTACTTCATTTCAGAACTCTCATCTTGAGCGAGCATGAAGGTGACAGTGGAAAGGAAAAACTCCCTCATGAGTCAAGTCAGATGTATTTCCAGCAGAACCAGGCTCAGGACAAGCCACCATCTGCTTCAACCAGCTGAGTTTGAGAGGAACAGGAAGGAGTAATAGATACTCAATGACAGGTCAGGAAAGAAATAACATTAAATAAAAACTATTCAATTTTAAAAATTCATTAAAGGAAATAAGGTCAATTTGTCCTCCAGTAGTCTAAGTATATGGCAGCAAAACAAGCCAACCCTAACTATAGGATTTATCGACAAGGAAAGTCTTAAACCTAGTTTTAAAACTGGACAATGTGTCAGCCTCACAGACAGAAACTGGAAGTTGGTTCCACAAGAGAGGAGCCTGAGAACTGAAAGATCTTCCTCCCATTCTGCTTTTGGAAACTCTAGGAACCACAAGTAAACTTGCAGTCTGAGAGCGAAGTGCTCTATTAGAAAAATATGGAACAATGAGTTCTGTAATATAAGATGGAGCTGGGTTGTTGAGGGATTTGTAGGTTATAAGTAAGATTTTGAATTCAGTTCTGAGTTTGACAGGGAGCCAGTGGAGAGAAGCTAAAACTGGAGAGATATGATCTCTCGTACTAACTCCAGTTAAGACTCTGGCAGCAGCATTTTGGATCAACTGAAGATTTTTTAAAGTATTTGGACACCCAGATAATAAACCATTGCAATAGTCCAGTCTAGACGTGACAAATGCATGAACCAGTTTTTTTTGCATCACTTAGACAAGATGTTTCTAATTTTAGTGACATTACGCAGAATTACGAAGGTGGTGGTGGTTCTGGTAATGTTTTTAATGTGAGGGTTAAAACAGAATTAACTGATGAGAACAATTTCTACCGTACCTGAAATGAAACTGTAAGCTCCATGACATGTTTGTTTTCAGAATGTACACCTCGTGGCTCGCTGGCTGCCTTTTCTAGATGCCTTTCTGGAAATGGCAGCAGTGGACAGTCATCCCAGCTACAGGATTTTCATAACTGGAGAGCCAATACAGAGCCCTGAGCAGCATGTAATCCCTAGAGGTTTGCTAGAAAATGCCATCAAAATCACAAATGAGCCTCCCTCTGGCATGAATCACAGTTTGCATGCTGCCCTCAACAACTTCAGTCAGGTTTGCAGAAATCGTCAAACGTTTCCAGGATTTGCAGTGTGCTTTTACTGAAATGTATATTTTCTTCCTGTTTATCAGGATACTCTGGATATGTGCTCCAGGGAACAAGAGTTCAACTCCATGTTGTTCTCTCTGTGTTTCTTCCATGCCTGTGTAACCGAGCGCCGTAAGTTTGGTCCACAAGGGTGGAACCACTACTACCCCTTCAACACAGGAGACCTCACCATCTCAGCCAACGTGTTGTACAACCACCTGGAGGCTAACACCAAAGTATTCTTTAATTACGTCATGCATTCCCTTTTTTTTTTTATTTTAACAAAACTTTAAATTTGTTTCACCACAACCTTTAAAGCTAATCAAATTTGGAATAATAATGGTATTTTCATTGACATTAACGCCAAACAGTAACGCTGAATGATTGTGCACTGTCTCCAATTATTGTTTGAAAATCTTTTGTTGCAACGCTATTTATGAAAAATGTTCATTACCATCTTTTTTTTTTTCAACTTCCTTACAACTATTAGCACAGCCTATAATTTAGCTTTATTTCGCAAAGACAAAAAAAATCCATTCTTTCAGAGACGCACCTCTCACTGCTCCTAATGTGTTTCTTTTAGAGCTCCCATTACTCCGGTCATAACCAATTACATCTCCCAGGTATCCTGCCCTCCAAAAACGAATGTCCTTCATTACGTTAACCAAACAGTAACCTGTATGTGCGTATACAGAGAATTCATTAGGAGGGCAATGAAGCGTTATCCTAAATGTAATTACATGCAGTAATGTGACAGTTCACAACGCTACATAAGTGATCACTGCAATTAGAGCTGATGAAGGAAGCAATTTGCAAAACAATACAGGTACAAATGATAGTGAACCCACAGCTTTTGTAATTTGTTATGAATCACAGGTTCTTTTCTTCCTCCTTCACGCTCACAGATCATAATCTCCCGCTGTGGGAAAGACTTTTCTGTCATACACTAGATCAGTTTGTGTAAAGAGAGATAATTTTGTTATATTTATCTACTGTTGAGGTGAGGGACTTGGTGAACACGTACCTAAAGTTTCAAAGAAGTGGAGAAAAGAAAAAGTGATAATAGTTTTAAAAACACCAAATAACCTTTTAGTCAATGCATGTTTTGGTATCCCTTGTTTATTGGCTTTACAATGTGATTAAAGTCTACAAATTCTACCAAAGTCCTCGCAGGTCCCTTGGGAGGACCTGTGCTATCTATTTGGAGAGATCATGTATGGAGGACACATTACTGATGACTGGGATAGACGACTGTCCAAGACCTACCTGCAACAATTCATGCATCCAAAGATGGTAAGGGAGTGGTGACGGTGCTTTGTAAAAAATACGTTCTTTTGTGTTTGAACAAAAACGTTGCACTTTAAGTGAATTGGATTGTATTTGACAGTACAAATGTTTAGTTTGTAAATAACTAAATTATTTATTTATGTGTCTTTTGGGTTTTCTCTGTGTGATTTGGCTTTCTTTGTGTTGTAAGGTAAATGGTGCCCTCTTGGGATGTAAAACTAAACTGCACTTTTGATGGTTTTTCATTTTCTGTTATCCCATTTCACAGTGCAGAGGTTTGTTCAGGGGTCTGCAACCTGTGGCTCTGGAGCCACATACGGTTCTTTGGTTCCTCTGCAGCGGCTCTTTTCAAGCTTTGACCAAAACTAACATAAAACTGAATTTTTTTTGGTTGTTATACAAACAGCAAAAAAGTACTAGTTTTAGCTGTTTTCCTGCCATTTCTTTTGCAAATATGTGAACACTGGCACAAGTACAAGGAGTAAAGCTTTATCTTTATGCTTTATTTCTTTATATGAAGAACTGTCTGCATAGTTTATGCAGTAGATTTATTAATAATAAAAAAAAATGGTTAAAAACTGAAAAATGTCCCCTTTTACAAGAATCTGGTCTTTTTCTTTAATAAATGTTAAAAATCACTAAAATTTTTTGCTTTATAATGTCACCCTTACTGGCCACAAAAGCTGCCTCCAGCAAACCTAAAGTGGCCCATGGGCCACCAGTTGATAACCACATGTGTAGCAGGGTGTTGCGGCTTCGGACAAGTTTAATGTAGTGAACGAAGGTGAAAAATGACTCTTTGGATTGTAAAGGCTGCAAACCCCTGTTTAGTTAGTCTCTGCTGCGTGACACTACATAACAAGCTTTAGTGTCTTCTTATCAAGAGGATTATTCACAAGTCACTTCCTTTTGAAAACAAACATATGCCATAAATCCAGTGAAACAGGGATCCTTGTATTTTGTGCAACCTAATGTTTCTTCTCACTCGTAATTTGACCATCATCTGTTTTTGTTCTATTCCTAGTTTGAAGCTGAACTCTTTCTGTGCCCGGGGTTCCTTGCTCCTCCGTTCTCAGACTACAGCGGCTATCAAACTTATATCGATGAACATCTCCCCTCTGAGAACCCATCTTTGTACGGCCTCCATCCGAACGCTGAGCTCGAGTGTCTCACTGTCACCTCAGAAAACCTCTTTAGGACTCTGCTGGAGCTGCAGCCACAGGACTCGGCAAGGGAAGACGATGTGGCTCAAAGCACAGAGGAGAAGGTGTGGAGAATAAAAAAGAAGCTGCTGAGAGTATACAATAAATATTTATATACCCGATACCTGAGCAGGTTTGTTTTATTTCACAGGTTGTGTCTATAATTGAAGACATTCTGGAGAAGCTTCCAGAAGAATATAATGTATCAGAAATGATGACAAAGACAACAGACCGTAGCCCCTACACATTAGTGTGCTTTCAGGAGTGTGAACGCATGAATGTTCTTGTAGCAGAAATAAAAAGGTCCCTCTATGAGCTGCACCTTGGCTTAAAGGTACCGTTTACTTTGACTGTGCAATAAAAGTATATTTGTAGCTTTGTACATAAAAATGTCTTGGTGTAGCAATAGGGTTTTCTTTTTTTTTCTACAGGGAGAACTCACCATTTCCCCCAGTATGGAGACTCTACAGTCTGCTCTATTCAATGACTTAGTCCCAGAATCCTGGGCTCATTTGGCTTATCCCTCCACTAAAACACTGACACAATGGTAACATTTTGAATTATTATGTTTTCAACCAACTAGCTTTTATTATGTCTCTCTTATTGTACTGCTTAACATGAGCTGCCATTAAAATGCTGCATCGTTGGTGAATATTTATGTCATAGGTTGAGTGATCTAACTTGCAGCTGTCACGAGCTGGACGGTTGGACTCAGGACTTTGTCATACCGGCAGTCGTTTGGCTTTCAGGGCTTTTCAACCCACAGTCTTTCCTCACTGGTGAGAATCGGATTTGTGAGCAAGATGATGATTTGAAATAACGTGAACCAGATTAACAAGAATTATTAACCTGCAGTCATGCTTTACAGCTGTGTTGCAAAGTATCGCTCGCAGGAATCAGTGGCCTCTGGACCGGGTGACTCTGACTGTTGATGTAACGAAGAAGATGAAAGATGACTTTGGACATCCTCCAAGAGAGGGGGCCTACATCCATGGACTCTTCATGGAAGGTCAGAATTGATTAGCCTGGAAATCCCTCCGTGCACCCTCACTAAATATATTTGTATATCTTTGACAGTACTTTACTGAATATTAATATTAACATGCCATGCGTTCTCTCAGGAGCACGTTGGGACACTCAGTCTGGTGTTATCTCTGAAGCGGTCTTGAGAGACCTAACCCCCTCTATGCCTGTGTTGTACGTCAGAGCTGTACCTGCAGAGGAGCAAGAGATCAAAAACACTTACATGTGTCCAGTGTACCGCACCAAGCAGAGAGGGCCCACGTATGTGTGGGCTTTCCACCTCCGAACCAAACAGTCACCAGCTAAGTGGGTGGTAGCTGGAGTTGCGTTGCTTTTGTCCGTGTGAGACTGTAAGGAAGCTGCTCTTTGTTTGCTTGTGCCTATTTTATTTTATATCTAACAATATATTGGAAACAGCATTGATAAACAATCTCCATCCAGTATTAGATTATGCATTTAAAACATGTAACTTTTATACAATGTACAGTAGTTACAATTAATTACGTTATAGATTTTGTTCATTAGATTGTGTAAATGCATTTTATGTGTGACAGAAGTAACAGAAATGCATGAGTAGACTTTTTAGTTCAACTTGTGTTGAACCCAGGGGTGATTCTAGAATCTGACCTTTAGGGGTGCTGCATCCCTAGTGCTGACAATGGCTCATGGTTTGAACAATGTGGTGGCCATTGGCATCAGAAGCATTGAAAATGGGGTGGGGGGGACACACTGGTGGAGGGAGGGGGGGGGGGGGGGTGGGGGGGTCCACTCCCAGAATAATTTGCATAAAGTAGATGCCATTTCCTGCATTCTGGTGTATTTTAATGGGTTGTTAAACATCTACGTTTACCTATATATGTATACACTTGATTCAATAACTATTTTAGAGAGCACAGCACAACAAGAAGTAGCACAAAGCTAGCAGCGTACAATACAGATGCGCTAGCTAAGATGCTACAGACGTACCACTCTGCTTTACATGACACAACCTAACAAATGCTTTGTACAAAATCAGCTTAGCTTTAACCAGTGGCGGCTGGCCAATAGAGGGTGCTAGGGCACCGCCCCACCACTCATCACTTGTAACATTACCTTGAATGACATACAAAATAAAATAAAAAATATTAATGATGAGTAAAGTTGTTTCTTTCAAAATCATTGTCTCTGATTGATGATGTATTTCCTCCCTGGGGTGCAAAAATCTTTGCCGATAGACTCTTGTTAAAAATTGTACATGCACAGTTAGCTCCTCTTCATTACAAGATATAGGACCATTAAGAGCGCTCCTCTCCTGCGCCCAGAGCTGAATGCACGGTACGGATTGAGTTTCTGGTCTGAAACAGATTGTGGACACACAACCAGGCTATTGATGAGAGAGGCTAGGCTAGCTGATGAAGGTAGGCTTTAAGTTATTGAAAGCCCTTTATCTAATGCCTATGTTGCCATTTCTGACTGATATGCCTCTCAACTTTTCGCTCTCTCTAAAATGCAGATAATATACATATAAGATACAGGTGAACATGCAGCTTCCTGTTTGTCACTGTTGTATTCTGCTTCTCATGAGGTCGGTCGCAGAGCTTTATCCATCTTTTACATTTTTCCAAACTCGGTTTAGGTTTTGGAAATGGAATAAACTGTATTCCACCCTCTACAGCAGGGCTATTCAACTAAACTGCACTGAAAGCCATCAGCGCAGGGGCCAGACATCCAACAATGCAGTCATTATGTAAATAAATGAAGTATTACAATGATCTTACCTTTTAAATGTGTTTATTTTGTTGTATTGAATCATAAATGGAACGCAAACCCAGAAATGCCCCCCTCCCAGGGGTGCTTGAACACCCACAAAAAGAGGCTAAAATCGCCACTGGTTGAACCTGTCGTCTCTGCGTCTAGCACTGTTGCACGTCTCCCTCGAGTCTGGCTGTGATTTGTTGGGAGCTCATGTCTCCATTTTAGACCATGTAATTTTGGAAAGGGAGCATATTTTATTGGAAGGTCAAGATTTAAAAAAAGCTCTCAGGCTGCCCTCTGAAAACTAAATGATACACAATGCTGTCTGGAGGCTTCCCGGACCGAATTCCCAGGAGATGATGTGCATGCTTTGCTATTGACTTTTAAATGAGGTGCGTTTGACATTGACCTTTTGTACGGCAGAGGCAGCATACTAACAGACTAGTGTAATTCATTCAGCCGAGCCTGTTGGAAAAACCTATCCAAAGACAGCGATAGCTTTGTATGAGAAAGCAACACATTAGATTACCCATCCTTTATCGGTCTCCTCTCTCTGTTAGCATCTGATTAACTTAATCTGCACCAAATAAAACCTTTAACTTTGAACGAGTCTAAGGAAAGACTCATTTAATCTAAAACGTTATCTATTTAAATTGGTTTTATTTAGGTTAAATAAAAAAGTGAAAACAGGCCAAATTAAGTTTTACTCCCTTTATTGCTAAACAGATAATTTTTTTCAAAGCTAGGATGATTTTGCACAGCATGGCACTGAATGAAAAAATGATAACACAGCAGAAATGTGAAATTAGATGAGAAGAAACACATTCATCCCTTACCCCAATTATTTAGTGCTTTTTTTTAAACTAAAGAAACTTTATGATCTTGTTGTCATGGTTAAACATGGCCATATTGTTGACGGTGTGATACACAAATTACAGCAACTGCACCAGGCTGGTGTGTTTTTTTCAGGGAGGTGGAGGAGGAGGTCAAATCAGCACTCTTCTCAAATGAGATTTTCTCCAACGCTAATAACTGCTGTGCTGCTCTTAATTCCTCCCTGCAGCCTAAGTGGCTGCAGACAGACAAATGGAGGACGGAAGATTGATTCTGTGCATTGTGTTGCAGGGGGGGAAATAAAGAAGCGCTCTTCCTGCAGATTCTCTAAATCTGCCTTCTCTTCCTCTCATTAGCCCACCGCAGCAGCTAGCCGCTCATTTGGTGACAAGGAAATGATACAGTGCCGGCTGAGTTTGGGAGGAAATGGCAGGGTGTGAAGGCCCGGCGCAGCAGGGGTCATGCCACGCATAAGTCATGTTAAAGGCCAAATGGGACACCTGGTTAAAGTAAAAAAAAAAATAAAAAAAAATGCATCTGGGTCACACCTCCGCCTCCCTGCACCAAGTGTTTGTCCAAAAAGCATTTATATTCAGAAATGTGTAAAATATTGTGCTGTAACTTTCAATTTATTTAGCTGTAAAACATTCTGCAATACTTAGAAGCAAACAACTTAAAGATGAACTCAGCAGGAAGTGTTCAAATCATCAAAATCTCTAGAAGCTTCACTATAAATGTTATCAATTAAAAAAAAAACACGTTAATTTTCTGTACGACATTTAAAGTTTCCTGATGTCCCCGAGCGTTTTGTCCTTTTACTCACTGGTTACCAGTAATATTTTCTTAATTTCTCCAGAAAAATAAACAGCGTTTAAACTTGATGTTCTCTGTAAAAATGACTGACAAACTGTTTTATATTTTAATATGTTTGGTTCAAGATGACTGTCACTTGCATCACATGTGGTACATGAGGTGGAATGAAATTGTGCACTCAAGGTCCCAGTTACTCCCAAAAATAGAAAAAATGTAAAGTATTAAAAAGAAAATGGTATACAAGGATCTAAGATATATGCTAAACCATAATAATGTAATAATACGGTGCATTAAACAGTGGCCTGAACATGAGTTTGTTGTGAGCAATTTGTGTCAATCCAACAGTTTTTGTATATTCTTTGAGAGCCCATAATTGTGCAGATAAAGAAATTTCTGCCAACTCTTGATGTCTTTGTGAATTTATTGTTTGTTTGTTCATTTTCCCAATATTTTTTTGTTTCTTGATCATTTTTTTAAAAATTGTTCAAACTTCCAGCTATGATTAAAAACTACAGTGTTTCATAGATACAGTTAAGTCTACTTATAGTTTACATAATATTACGACCAGAGGTGGGAAGAGTACTGAAAATTTGTACTCAAGTACAAGTACTGTCACGCTGCTTAAATTGTACTCGGAAGTAAAAGTACTGGTGTTATAAAAATACAGAAGTAAAAGTAGCAAGTAGTCTTCTCAAAAAAATACTCGAGTATTAATTACATTTTAACCAATTGATGTTTCATTGTGTTATCAATAGAAGGCATTCAGTTTGATTTACTGTATATAGTCGCTACATTCAAAGCACATTTCTCAGACGCTCAGAAGCTCCGTCTTATTTTAGTACAAGGCAAACCGATGGCAGTGACAATATCTAAGATCTTTGCATACTTAGCCAAACTAATAACCCACACATACAAACAATGAGACTCTACTTCCTCAGGCGGCTGAGGTGAGCTGGTCTGGGAAGCTCAGTCCTCACCTCCTTCTACAGGTGTGCAGTGGAGAGCATCCTGTGCTCCAGCATCAACGTGTGGCATGGAGGCTGCACAGCTGCAGAAAGAAAAGCTTTGCAGAGAGTGGTGAAGGCTGCACAGAAGTCTGTTGGAGTCAGCCTCCCCAACATCACTGACATTTACACCTCCAGATGCAGGAAGAGGGCCACCTGCATCATGAAGGACCCCACTCACCCAGCACACACACTTTTTGCCCCGCTCCCCTCAGGAAGGAGGTTGAGGAGCATTGAGTGTAGAACCACTAGACTGAGGAACAGCTTCTACCCTGAGGCTGTTAGACTCATGAATCTCTAACCAGAATAATCACTGTGAAAAAATCACTTTATGTTGCTGCTGATCTGTTTCATGTTGATGTGTTCATTTGTACTTATCTGCTCATACAGACTCATGTTAGTGCTGCTGTTCGGCGTAATTCTTTTTTGCTATTAGTGCTTAGAGTATTATTTAACTGATGTTTTCCTTAGTTCATATCTTAGATCTTATTACTGTTTTTCTTTTGCATTTTATCGTTGGATGTAACTGGGACCCTGCGTACATAATTTCGTTCCATAACATGTACCACATGCGGTGCGAATGACAAATAAATCTTTCTGACTCTGACAATAAAAAAACAATATACTGGGAAA